AGGGTCACAAAAAGTCAAACACGACTGAGCAACTAAGCACATCCTTCTATAAAAGATACTTATAAAATTATCAGAACTATATATTCAAACAAAAATAATCTTACAGATGGTATGTTTTGTGGAATATTAGGGAAGAATGTTTGAAATTGGGTCTGTCCTGAAATCATGCATTGGTAAAATCTCCTTTCAAAGTGCAAGATATATCAGTGGATTTCAATGTAGCAGGATATAGGATTATATGGTTTTGGACTCCAGCAAACCAAGAAACTACCACTTGCTGAGTTTCAGTGTATTATCAAAGAAAGATATCCATAGAGGCTACTAAAATACTCCTACCTTTTCCAATGATATGTTTGTGTGAGGCTGTTGAACAGCAAGCAGACATGAGCACTCATCTGTGTTCTATTAAGATAGGCATTAGAGATTTGCAGAATATAAAACAATACTACTCTTCTCACTAAATTTTGTTTTATAAAATTTATTTTTCACAAAAAAGTTACTTGTATTAACATGTACTAAATAGATAATTAAATGAATTGGTCTTTTTAAAATTACATAGCAGCCTTAATTTCTAATAAGTATTGATATAATCCACATAAAGAATTTTTAAAAGGTAAGCAGGTCTTGTGGAGAAGACAATGGCAACCCACTCCAGTACTCTTGCCTGGAAAATCCCATGGACAGAGGAGCCTGGTAGGCTGCAGTCCATGGGGTCGTGAAGAGTCAGACATGACTGAGAGACTTCACTTTCACTTTTCACTTTCATGCATTGGAGAAGGAAATGGCAACCCACTCCAGTGTTCTTGCATGGAGAATCCCAGGGACGGGGGAGCCTGGTGGGCTGCTATCTATGGGGTTGCACAGAATTGGACACGACTGCAGTGACTTAGCAGCAGCAGCAGCAAGCAGGTCTTGACACCAAAATGTTTGAGAATCACTGGCTTGAGTAAGGAGCATGCTATGTAAAACTACTTCTGTGCAGACCTTACAGCTGACTGGTATCTTACCTTCAAAACTAGACTTCCTTCATGGGCAGGCAGATTCTTTAACTGAGCTACCAGGGAAGCCCTACCTTCCAATAAGAAAGAACAAATGAAAATCCCCAGATATTTGGGGTGAACCACTAACGTGAATGACAGAAGCCAAAATGATTAAAATGATTTGATTGTGGAGCAGAAAGCAAAGAGCAGGAAAGTTAAGTCCAAAATAACAATTGTCATCATTATCACCTCCTTATAAATATGAGAACATTTTTGCACCCATAAAATAATAATAGAAACATAAGTACCCAAAGAACATGTAAACACACTTACACACTTTGAAACTGAAGATCAGATAGTAGGGATGAAAAAATTCAATAGAAGCGATAGAAAATAAAAGATGAAATCTGAGAAAACAGAACAAGAAACAAGAAGATGGAAAATAGAGAAAAAATGAGATAGTCTAGAGTATCTAACCTAATGTAGGGGAGGAAATATTAAAACTGTAATTCAAGAACAGAGGTTCCTTAGCTTTTTGGCCCCAGGATCTGACTTCCCTGGTGGCTCAAATGGTAATGTATCTGCCTGCAACGTGGGAGACCCAGGTTCGATCCCTGAGGTGGGAAAATCCTCTGGAGAAGGAAATGGCAACCCACTCTGGTACTCTTGCCTGGAAAATCCCATGAACGGAGGAACCTGGTGGGTTACAGGCCGTGGGATCGCAGAGTCAGACACAACTGAGCAACTAAACTTTCACTTTCAGGATCTATATATGCTTAAAAATTGCTAAGTGCCCTAAAAGGTTTTTTTGTTTATGATTTATGATGTTTTTATCTACCATAATATAAATTAAAACTGTTGTAGTTGTTCAGTCGTGTCTGACTCTTTGTGACCCCATGCACTGCAACATGCCAGACCTCCCTGTCCTTCACCATCTCTCAGAGCTTGCTCAAACTCATGTCCATTTAGTCAGTGATGCAATCCAACCATCTTGTCCTCTGTCATCCCCTTCTCCTGCCACCTTCAGTCTTTCCCAGCATCAAGGTCTGTTCCAATGAGTATGCTCTTTGCATCAGGTGGCCAAAGTATTGGAGCTTCAGCTTCAGCATCAGTCCTTCCAATGAATAATCAGGACTGATTTCCTTTAGGATGGACTGGTTGGATCTCCTTGCAGTCCAGGGGACTCTCACAAGTCTTCTCCAACACCACAGTTCAAAAGCATCAATTCTTCAGCACTCAGACTTCATTATAGTCCAACTCTCACATCCATACATGACTACTGGAAAAACCGTAGCTCTGACTAGACAGACCTTTTTTGGCAAAATCATGTTTCTACTTTTTAACATGCTGTCCAGGTTGATCATAGTTATTCTTCTAAGGATCAAGCATCTTTTAATTTCATGGCTGCAATCACCATATGCAGTGATTCTTAGGCCCAAGAAAATAAAGTCTGTCACTGTTTCCATTGTTTCCCCATCTATTTCCCATGAGGTGATGGGACCAGATGCCATGATCTTAGTTTTCTGAATGTTGAGTTTTAGCCAGCTTTTTCACTCTTCTCTTTCACCTTCATCAAGAGGCTCTTATAGTAAAACTAAGAAGTTATTAAAATATCAATGTATTCAATAATAATAAAAAATCCACAGATTTCTAGAAAAACTTACTACTCTTCCCATTAACATTTTTTGCATTTTGGAATTGTTTTACATTTTTACAAATCTCTTTGCTGTTTGACTTACTGGAAGACAGCTGGATTCTCATATCAGCTTCTGCTTTCCATCTGTGATATCACAGGTCATGTAGCCTCTGGAAAGGCCACTGTACTCTCACAAGAGAAGGAAGATAAAAAATCTGATAGAGTCAAAGTATTTTTATAAAATATATTAGCCTTTTGGACTTCCTGAAGGGATCTTAAAAACCCAGGGAGCATTTTGAGAACTGATGATCAAGAACACTTCCCAAATATTCAAATTGCCTCTGTGTATGAAAAAAAAGACCCACCTCAAAACCAACCATCACAGAATTTCAGAACTAATTACCAAAGAGAAAACTCTAAAAGCTTCCAGCGTAGAAAAACATGTCACTTGTAACCTAGATCATGAATCAGAATGATGTTGGACTTCTTAATAGTAGCATTAGAATCCATACAACAGCAGATGTCTCCCTGAATACTCAGAAAATAACTTCCAATCAAGAATTCTATGTCCATTGATAATTATCAGTCAAGTGTGAAGGGAGAACATTTTGAAGCAGAAAGAGTCTCAGAAAATTCACTGCCTATTACCCCTACTCAGAAAGCTGCTGGAGGGAAGACTCTCCCAAAGGAGAGATTATAGCTTAAATGGTATCTAAGAAACAGGGCTAAGGGAAGGGCATCATCAGGATGGTGTTGAAGAGAGGACCCAGCAGACCAAGACAGCACCTGTCCAGGTGGAACTGGAAGGACAGATGGCTCTAGGAAGGGGGTCACTAAGAGAGAATGCAGCCCATAATGATCCAATGTTTGAACTTGGTGGGACATGAGTTACACTTTTGGCGCAAAGTTTGAAGGTGCATTAGTAAGCTGTACTTAGGAAATCAACCCTGAACAGTCATTGGAATGATTGATGCTGAAGCTCCATTACTTTGGCCACATGATGTGACGAACCAACTCATTGGAAAAGACCAGATGCTGGGAGATGTTGAAGGCAAAAGGAGAAGAGGGCAGCAGAGGATGAGATGGTTAGATATCATCACCAACTCAATGGACATGAATCTGAGCAAACTCTGGGAGATAGTGAAGGACAGGGACGCCTGGTGTGCTGCAGTCCATGGGGTCACAGAGAGTTGGACACAACTTAGCACCTGAACAGTAACAACTTTGAAAACCAAACAAACAAACTTAAAAAAAAAAATGAGACCATTTCAACTCCAGGGAAAACATGGTTGTACAAGAAAGGCAGTGTAGCTATGATATACTCCAAGGCTTAGCTGAGAATAATATTTACATAGTCTTTAAAATGTAAACTCTGGCTTTTAATCTAATTAAATTTCCTAACAGAGTTTGCTGAGAAAGATGAGAAGAAAGGGAGCTAGGAGAAATTATGAAGTAAATACCTAAGACTGAAAAATAATGAAAATGCATTGCCAGCATGTTTGGAAACCCAGATACGCATAGCTGAAATGGCTAAAAGTTGAAAGTGTTTCCAGGGAGTGGTAGTTGAGAAGGGGAAACAGAAAGCAAGGAACTGTAGAGCTATTTTTACCACAATTCCTGAAGAACTGTTTAACTTTTTATTAACTATGTGATACACAGATAATTAAAATAAACACTTAACATATTAAAATACATATTAATATAACTTTCATGAAATGTAATTTGGGAATGTGTTAATGTTTGGAATGAGAATGCCCCATGACCCAGCAATCCCATTCATAGAACTATATGCGGCCATGGGAGATTAGTGACATTAATGATGCTACATCCACAGAGTGCAATGGCATTCAGTTAGTTACTTAATGAATAAATAAAAATAAATAATACAGATTTTCATCTGAGGAAAGAGATTTCCTCCCCTGGCATATTTTCCTTTAGAGCACTATCTCCATGTATAATTTTGTGTTAATCAGTGTGATTCTTCACTGCATGTCTGACTCTTCAGTGGATTCCAAGCTCCAAGAGACACGCTAGTGTATTTGTTCTTAGTGCTTTGTGTACTGTCTGGTACCTGGAAACCTATGGGATGAATAAGTGTGTGTGAGCATGCGTGCAGATTTTGACAAATGTCAGGCAGACTGAAATGCTGAGTAGGACTTACCTCTGGGTGGGAGAGTTGCAGGTCAGACCTCTGTTTACACCCCTGCTCCTCCATAACTTCAGGCAAGTCACTTATCCAAGCCTTGGATGTAATGACAAAACTTCAGATGTGCAGTTAAATGGTTCCTTATAAATGCCATGTAAGTGTTTAAACTTCTAAGTTATTTAAAATGTCCTCAACCCTCAGACCACAACCTGATACATTCTTTTTTCTTTTTTTTTAGTGAGCTTCTGCAAGACTTGGAAAACTGTGAAAATGATCCTGTGGCCATAGCAGAGTGTTTTGTGTCCAAGGTAAGCAGGGTTCATCTCTGTGAGCCAACCAAGACAGAGACAGAGACACACTGTTCTCATTGTAAAGTTAAGATGACCGATGTGTTCCATATTGGATGAAGTCCACCACTAATCTCTCTCACTCTGAGGGTATTTTTCTCCCCACTAGCCAGGAAAAAAAATTCACTTCCCAGTAAATTGTGTGCATGCTTATGTAGTCACTTCAGTTGTGTCCGACTCTTTTCAACCCCATGGGCCATAGTCCCCCAGGCTCCTCTGTCCATGGGATTCTCCAGGCAAGAATACTGGAGTGGATTGCCATTCCCTTCTCTAGAGGATCTTCCCGGCCCAGGGATGGAACCCACATCTCTTATGTCTCCTGCATTGGCAGGTGGGTTCTTTACCACTAGAACCACCTGGGAAGCCCAATAACTTAGCAGTTGTTTTAGAACTTGTATAATAACTAAGTGATGCCACATATCTGTCCTAAGAAAAACTTTAAGCTTGGGAAGAGGAGAGTCCAGAATAGAAGAATGTTAGAAAAATAAGTACATGTAAAAGATGACTAGAAAAAAATAAAATATGACTAGATCAGTTATAAAAATCTGTAAGAATATAAATACTTTACATATATATAAATATATATTTAATATACTGCCATATACATATGTATGTATATATAGTTACATATATATAGATAAACATATATATATACACATATATATGGCACTAGCTTATTCATTTAGTGGAAAAACAAAACAGAGTTAATCTCCTGCCTCTTAAATATGCCCTGTAATTCTCCTACATTCTTCTTAAGTTGCACTGATGGCTTAGAAAAAATGCAAGGAGGGGATTTGAATTTTAAAACTTAAATGACAGTCAGTTTAAATTCTATACCCAGGTAGGAGAATTCTGAAACATAGAAGGGAATCCTTTACAACATGACTTTCTTGATGTCCTACTGTAAATAGAATCTTATCTTATGTTTCTCTAAAAATTCAGCAGCTTTTGTTTGGAAACCTTCTAGCAGAAATTGTTTTTCTAGCAAAACTTCATGTAATTTTTACAGTTGTGGTTTCAAATGTACAAAGGTTGAAGCGAAGTTCATGATGGCGCTTTTGGGTCAGCTGAGAGTTAGCACCTCATTTAGAGTCTCGGAGGCCAATGTGAACTTGGAGACGTCCCCCCCAGCCTGACCAGGTTCCAGGGTTATTCCACAAGGTTATTTCTGATGATCCAATGGTTTTGAATCCAAACATAACAGTCTTGGTTCTACTCAAGTGGGGCTCCTTAAAGGCAGTTGATGGACTTATATATAAAACACTCCTGACTTTGTGGGTGGCAGGGTATGTGTTAACATACAAAATGTTTGTGCACACATGCTTACACACACAATTCTTCTCACAAGTGGCCTGTGTCACAGTGAAGGGTAAGAATTTGGAAAAGAGAAAGAAAATGAAAGAGGGAGAAATGGGTAAAAGATAACGCTGAGTGTATCAAAGAAGCTGTGTTAGAATAACCACAGTGAATAAACAACATAGAAGCTTTCGGAAACATTGGGGCTTTTCTGGTAACTGTAATCACAAGTTGATTAAAGACGGTCCAGCATATGCTTAGCTCTGGTTTAATTATTCACATAAAAGTTTGTTTATGCGCCAGGTTGCCAACTCCCAAATCTGATTTCTTGTTGCGATATTGCCAAGTTTAATTGGAAGACTGATTGCAGCACTCCACACTCCTGTGTGTGAGCAGGGAATAGTGAGGGGGTGTGTGTGGGTCTGGCACAGCCTGCTTCTCACTCAGCACCCTGAAATTTAGAAGATGTTACACTTTATGGAACACAAGCAGCTGCTCACCTCTGGGGAGGAGTGGAAAATTGCTTTAATTGAGGGGCCGTTAATGAAAGAGGTGAAGCTGGCGGTTGCCGTCTGCTTTCATCTGAGTCACTGGGGCTTACACGGAGAGTCAACTTTGACCTTGCTTTTGTGGTGTGGCTAGGCGACAGAAATCCCTCCTGACAAGAGGAGAACGCAGCCCGTCTTACCTGCTGCCCAGAAAAGAACAGCAAAGCGCTGCAGAAGCCACTCTCGGGAGGGGTGAACGACCCCGCCAGGCAGGCCAGGCAGGCCAGGCTCTCGCCCACCGAGCGCTCGCCTGCTCTTAGGACTCTGGAAACACCTGGAACGGGTTTCCGTGGTTTCCTGCCTTCACCTCCACTCTCATTTCCGTCACTTAGCTTGACTGTCAGCCAGGCTGACCCTGGGTGACATTTAGGAGGGAAGCTTGTCTTCGGAGGCCCAACTTCCCTTAACCGCCTCCTTTCACCTGATGCGTGGCCCCCTCCTCTTTGGAGCCTGTCTCCTCTCAGTGCTCAGGCATGTGTGTGTACACACACACACACACACACATGCACACACACACAAACACGAGCCACTTGTTGAAATTATCCTCGGGAAACTGCTGGTATCAGATAATAGGTATGATTGGAGTCTATTCAAATCAATGTCCTGGGCTTCCCGAATGGCGCTAGGGATAAAGAACTCCCTACCAAGGCAGGAGGCATAAGAGACGCAGGTTTGACCCCTGGGTCTGGAAGATCTCTTGGAGGAGGGCACAGCAACCCACTCCAGTATTCTTGCCTGGAGAATCTCATGGACAGAGGAGCCCGGTGGTCCATAGTCCATAGGGTTGCAAAGAGTCAGACACAACTGAAATGATTTAGCATGCTCACACACAAATCAATGTCTCCTTACAGAGTAAGCCTTTCTCAGTAGTGTCCTGTGAAAACTGCTCCATCGTCAGCGAGTGTGTGTGTGTGTGAGAGAGAAAAGGAGAGGGAAAGAAAGAGATGGAGTGGGGAGACATTAACATTATGGCAGAAGAAACCCTAAAATCATACAGATTTCTATTCTGATTTTTCATTCAGGAAACGTTCAAACACCTTTTGTGTTCAGTTGGCCCTGATGGTTATATTTTGGTTCTTTCATAATTAAATGTCTTATTTTGACATCATTACTAATTGCAAGTTGAAAGTGTTAAATAACGAGAAGAAGATATCTATTTTTATATAATTTTCTCTCATTGCCTTCTTTCTCCCTAAATACTTCTGAAAAGGATTTGAGTGCATATATCATAAGAAATAGTTATTCAGGGATTAACTGAGTAGGAGTTATTGACTTTTGTGTAAAGCCATTATTTGGACTGTCCACATGGCTCATAAATTCAAGATCAAGCATGCATTTGGTTCTATATTAAGAAATATCAGTGATTTAAATCGAAACTGCCTAATTTAAGACAGAAACAGAGCCATGGTGTCACAGAATGCCCCAAAATTCAGTTGTGCAGAGAAGCCTTGAGATATTTTTAGGGTAGCTCATGAAGATGATGTAATTTAGAATATTTTTATTGAGGCCATTGTGCTTGGTATTTCATATGATGCTACATTTAAGGGAATGAGCCAAATAGCTGTTCAGCCCCGTACTGAGTGTGGCAGGAGGCAGGAACAAAGCAAGAAAGTGTGAGTGTGAACTCACCCAGAGAAGGGCTCCAGGGACTCCTGTGGTGATCCCGTGGTCAAGACTGTGCTTCCACGGCGGGGGAATACAGCGCAGTCCCAGACCAAAGGATGGAGAAAGAGAGGGGCACTCTAGGCTGATGGTAATTTCCTGAAAGACCTTGAGCAAGTCACTGTACCTTTCTTATCCCTGGGGAAGGTGGAACACTCCAGTGCCTTCAGGAGCTAAGCTGATGAACACAGTGCATGAATGGGCCCAGGCAGAGGCCGGAGCATCGAGGTACTTACGTCTTGGGGACAGAAGTGTTACGTGAAACTGTAGGCCTAGGGCCTGTGGATCTAATACTTTTTCAAGAGAAGCCAAAAATCAAAAAAAAATTTATCTTTTAACTTTTAGAATTTGGCAACTTAGTTTTGTTTTTTTTTTAATATTATGCTTAAAAATTTGGCAGCATACCATGTTGGCAAGGCCATGGGGAAACAGACACTCCTATTATTGTGGGAAAATAAAATAGACCCCCTGGAGGGGAATTTGGCTATGTCTAGGAAAAGTATATCTGAATTCACCCTTCATTCCAGCAATCCTACTTCCAGAAATCTATTCTAAAGATATAGTGACAAAGTCTCAACAAAGGTGATGATATACTTCACAGTACTCATTGTTACAATTTATAAGCCTATATAAGGTGCATCCTTAGTCCTGTCTCACTCTTTGCGACCCTATGGACTGTAGCCCACCAGGCTGCTCTGTCAATGGGATTTTTCAGGCGAGAATACTGGAGTGGGTTGCCATTTCCTTCTCCAGGCGACCTGCCTGACCCAGGACCAAACCTGCGTCTCCTGCATTGACAGGCGAATTCTTTACCACTGAGCTACCGATAGAAATATGCAATACATGGAAACAGCCCAAATGTTCATGAACAAAACCTGATTGAATAAACTATGGCATATCCCCATAACATAGCAGTACAAAGCAGTAAAAGCAAATAAAGAATATTCCTATATACTACTAGAAAGGGGATGGGGTGGGGAGTCTTGCACTGTGGTTCTCAGGGTGTGGTCTCTGGACCACATCATATAGGATCTTGTTAGCAAGCAGATTCTCAGGCCCTACCCAGACCAGAAACTCTGGGGGTGCAACCCAGTAATCTGTGTTTTAATAAGCCCTCAAGGTAATTCTAATGCTGAAGTTTGAGAATCACTGACATAGCTTGCTTTTATTTATCTAGAAATGGGGAAGGTTATACTTATATTTCAATGTGTATGTTTAAAAAAAATTTTTAAAGATAAACTGTAAGACTAGAAGTTGGTTCCTGAGAGGAAAGGCAGGGAATGGACTAGAATGAGAAGGCATAGAAGCCAGACTTCCCTAAGTGTGCATTTCTTTGGAGAGTTGATTTTGAAACCATGTATTTATTTTACATAATTATAAGACAAAGTTTAAAACAGCCTTCAAAAAATGAAAGCAGATTGAAACAATGAACCTAACTGTAAATCCAGTTTGTAGCTTGACCACACAGAGGAAATGCCAATCAATTAAAAAATATGCTATGGGAAAAATACAGCAAATACATCCTTAACTGTTTTCAGCAATGATATCATATATGATGGTTTCAGTATTGTTATTCCAAAATTGTGTGTATTGTGGGATAAAGGAAATGAATATTCACAGTTGTGTCATTGAAAACTGGAATTGGCAAGACAAAGAAAATACAGATTAAGAATGAGGCTAATTAGAAACACTCTAGTCCTGAATCTGAATTGCAAGAATTACCATGAACTAAGCATATGTTTTAGCTTTAGAAACACCATATTTCTAACCCTGTCCACTGAGAAGGCCTAGAAATAATAATTAACGTGGTAGCAAGAGCATCGCTAATGCTCAGATTGTGGTTTTCACATACTGTTTCCTACGTGAAGGAATCCTGGCTCCGTGGAGAACAAGTGTGGGAGGGAAATGTGCAGGAGGGTCTGAAACATCGTGTCACCCCAGAAAGCAAGGCGCTACTGGAGGCTGTAGGTCAGGTCACAGATATTCAAGAAAAGGCTCCTGTTGGCCAAAGATGGGATCATTTGAGCATCAGTAAAAATATAACTAACTAAAAACAACTGAAAGTCATGAAATATGTTTATATTCATGAAATTCACAGTGATGTTAAAAAACCCAAGTCCTTTATAGGAGAGCCGATGCATTATTTTGAAAATTAAGGAAAAGAATCGAGCGTTTATCCTGTCTTTCCCATACAAACCACAAACTGCAGGGTAACTAATCTAAGGCAGTTCCTTTCTTGGAAAAAATCTGGCTAATAAATGAAGAATGGAGAAAGCAATGGCAACCCACTCCAGTACTCTCGCCTGGAAAATCCCATAGATGGAGGAGCCTGGTAGGCTGCAGTCCATGGGGTTGCTATGAGTCGGACACTATTGAGCGACTTCACTTTCACTTTTCCTTTGCATTGGAGAAGGAAATGGCAACCCACTCCAGTGTTCTTGCCTGGAGAATCCCAGGGACAGGGGAGCCTGATGGGCTGCCATCTATGGGGTCACAACTGAAGCGATTTAGCAGCAGCAGCAGCATGAATTAAAAGACCTATGCAGTAATTACCAGTGATTATTAACATCACAGAAAGAGAGAACCAGCTCCTATGCCTCTCAATTTAAGTACAATCAAGTCTGTGGTGTACTTGGGCCACATTATGGAACCTAAATCCAGTCAAGCCTCTTCTAAACCACAAGGAGCGTGGAAGACAGGAGAACATAGTAAAGAAAGCCTTAGGGACGTGATCAGCAAAATTGAGACTGCAGGAGAGTGCAGGACAAATCATTTGGTTTCTTCAACTTAATTGCAGGGGGGAAATGAGAGGGGGAACTTATAGATTAGAAGGGACTTAGATATCAACAATATCAAGTTGCTGTGTGTGGATGTTGTTTGGAATACAGAGCAAGCAGCAAACTATAATTTTAAAAAAGAAAATAAAAAATAGGAATAGTGATAATGAACTTCATGGTATTATGCAATTATTTATTTACATTTTATTGATGTAAAGTTGGCTTATAATGTGTATAATTTCTGCTATACAACAAAGTGACTCAATTTTTTACATATATATTTCTTTCCATATTCGTTTCCATTATGGTTTATCACAGGCTATTGAACATAGTCCCCTATGCTACACAGTAGATATATACTACTAAATATATTGTTGTTTATCCATTTTGTATATGTAATAGTTTGCATCTGCTAATCTCAACCTCCCAATCCTTCCCATGGAATTATTTAAAGATGATAATAGCATTGTAGTGATGTTTCTCTTTTAAAGTCCTCATGTTAAAGATATATACTAAAGTGTTTACAAGTAAGTGAAACTATATTATGTCTAGAATTTGTTGATAAGGGAACCTGGAATCCGTTTGTTGATAAGGGAACCTTAGCAAAAGGCAAGAAGCCCCCATTAGTTAGCTGAACATTTAATGCATTTGAGGCATCGCTGCCATGCTAGATGTACAGATGAGTAGACCTGGATCCTGCTCTCAAATAATTTTCAGCTTCATAGGAGACAGGGGCATTCATTAGTTCAAAAAACATTATGTGCCAGGCTGGCACACTATGGCCCCTCTCCTGCAGGAACTCACAGTATAGAGTGGCAGACAGATGCACAAAAAATGTCATGCTCACTTGGCAAATGCTGTAAGATAGGTTGGCACCAAGTGTTGTGGGGCCCCAAGGTAGGAGCAATTGGCTCAGTCCGAGAACTCAAGAAAGTCCCTTGAGAGGAAATAAAGCCTCAGTTCAATGTCAAAAGGTGCCTCGTGGCTGTCCAGTGAAAAAGATGGGAAAGGCAGTGGGCAGAGGAAGCTGCACACACAGGGCTTGAAAGTGTTCCCTTGCACAAACTTCCAGCATGTTCTGACCATATACTATTTAAATTATCTGCTTATATTTCTCTCTCACACTGCAAATGCCCAGAGGACCATGAGCACCTGGGGACAGAAACCCTACTGTCTTCCTCTACCTATTTGCCTTCAGATTCATCTAACATAGCAGATGCTCAATCAGTATCTAATGATCTCAGAACCACAATGAGGTACCATTTCACACCAGTCAGAATGGCTGCTATCCAAAAGTCTACAAGCAATAAATGCTGGAGAGGGTGTGGAGAAAAGGGATCCCTCTTACACTGTTGCTGGGAATGCAAACTAGTACAGCCTCTATGGAGAACAGTGTGGAGAGTCCTTAAAAACTGGAAATAGAAGTGCCATATGACCCAGCAATCCCACTGCTGGGCATATACACTGAGGAAACCAGAATTGAAAGAGACACATGTACCCCAGTGTTCATCGCAGCACTGTTTATAATAGCCAGGATATGGAAGCAACCTAGATACCCATCAGCAGATGAATGGATAAGAAAGCTGTGGTACATATACACAATGGAATATTACTCAGCCATTAAAAAGAATGCATTTGAATCAGTTCTAATAAGGTGGGTGAAACCGGAGCCTATTATACAGAACGAAGTAAGCCAGAAAGAAAAACACCAATACAGTATACTAACACATATATATGGAATTTAGAAAGATGGTAACGATAACCCTGTATGCGAGACAGCAAGAGAGACACAGATGTATACAACGGTGGACTCTGTGGGAGAGGGTGAGGGTGGGATGGTTTGGGAGATTGACACTGAAACATGTATATTATCATATGTGAAATGAATCGCCAGTTCAGGTTTGATGCATGAGACAGGGTGCGCGGGACTGGTGCACTGGGATGACCCAGAGGGATGGGATGGGAGGGAGGTGGGAGGGGGGTTCAGGATGGGGAACACATGTACACCCGCGGCAGGTTCATGTCAATGTATGGCAAAACCAATACAATGTTTTAAAGTAATTAGCCTCAAAAAAAAAAAGCATTTAATGATCTCAAATGAGTCCAAGTGCATGTGGATTCTAGGTATAAATCAAGGTAGTTAAAATGGCATGAATGATTGCTGCAGGGACTCAGAAGACAGGCCAAGGTGGTTAGAGAAACAACTTCTGAAACAACACCTTTTAAAGGATGAATGATATGTCTTTTACTTTTCATTGAATGTTGATGTCTCTGCTTTTTTTCTTTTTTTAGCCTATTACATCTCTTTTGTTTCCTTGCAGAGTGAAGAGTTCCACATTTATACCCAGTATTGCACAAACTATCCAAGGTACGCCTTGAATGTGTGGGAATACTTTTGCTTACCATCATGTTGCTTGAGGTCGGTCAATGCAGTACATGTAGTCAGTAGGCACTATGTGCCTGGTGCTGTGCTGAATACTGTGAGAAAATTGCAGAAATGCTGAGAACAGATCACAGGGGTACCCCGATATTGATCCATTCAGGCCTAGGGACCACTCAGCAGGGCCAGCACAGGGGAAAATTGTGAATGACCTTGAAGGAGGCCAAAAAGATTGTTAGGTGTCCTCCACTGGACTCCTGGAAGTGTTTGGCTAGAAGAACGCTTATCTATTAACCCTTTTGTATGTGTGCTGTGTTTTTAAGAATGTGGGATGCCCTGCTAATGAGTTAATATAATCTATCTGGGGATAAAATAAGTTATATTTTTGCTATCTAAGTTTTAGAAGGTACACAAGTTTTATGGAGCTCAGAGAAGGGAATGATCATGATAATCTTCCTTACCTGGACCATCAATTCAGGTTCATTTACACCAGAGGTGCTGGCAGGAGGGCTGTTGAAGGAGCAGCCTCAGTGATCATTCAGTAAGGGAATCAGGTCTAAGGCCACGACTCACTCTGCTGGAAATCTTTTTTTCTGCAAAAGACATTTATTGAGCACTCATTAATTTCAAGTGCTGCTCTTGATGCTATAACTACAAAGTGTGGTTGAATTTCATTTTCCCAGCAATCTAGAGATGTTAAGGGATTAAAGAAAAGCAGAAACACAGACAGCGCAGGGCCTGGCCCTGATAAGTCCTCCAGAAGTGCTTGTTCATCACCATCCCTGCCCCATCCCCACTGCATGGGTGAAATCATCGAGCCTCCAATAGGTTTATTGATTATACAGGAGTCACACAGCTGACAAGTGAGCGAACCCAGCTGGGATTTAAACCAAGGTTGGTCTGGCTTCAGACCTCATGCGGCTACATCCTTGTAGAATTTCTGAAGCTTTGTGATTCCCTCTGAGCCGTACCTTTCTACTGTCTGCCTGCCCATGACTAGCAGGACTAGTGTTGTTATGTTAGGCATGAACCAGGAAAAGAACTCAGGGAACTTTTATCTACTCTGTAGCCAGTCTTGGTGTGGAGGTGTCCGTAAGGATAAAGTGGGTGCTGGGGTCCACCTTGAAGAGAAGCCAGCAGGCTGAGCCCCTCCTGCCACTGTGATCAGGAAGAGCAAGTGGGTCATTCCTTCCTGGGGGAGGCCCTAGAAAGCCAGTGTGGATTAAAGGATGTGAAGCCAGAGGCTCTGGCTTACCAGTGGCAAAATTCCTTCCATTGGAGGGTTTTCACCTCCTCCTCTAAATACTGGTCTGCATATTGTGCTGTGGTGATTTATTTGGTTGGTGGCCAGGCATGTTTTTCCCAGGTTTCTCTGAAAACAAAAAACAAAACCCCACATACAAATTAGTACATTTATCCATCTCCTTATCTGTAGACCCACCCACACTTTACCCAGTTTCACTTACACAATGCTCTCTCCTGAAACATATGTTGCCACCTCTCTGCTAAAGATAATCAGGAAATTGTAGGATGCCCCAACTGAATCCGTGGTCCTTATGCCAAAAGCCAGCATTACACCACACCCTGATGCAGAGACATCACAGAATCAGGCCTCAACTTCTCCATAGACCTTCCTCCTGAGAGAAATAGAAAACCTTTCCAACTCTGAAGAATCAGCAGAGCCCTGGACCCAGTTACCAGGAGCCAGATGCCAGAGTGGTTTGTGTGAAGGATTATGTCTGTGTACATTACATTATAAACATGTCATATGAAGAAACATCTTCTGAATATTTAGTTTTTGAGGTTTATATTAAGAAGATTTTTCTAACTTCGTAATAAGAATGGAGAGTGCAAAATGAAAGCAACTTTTATAAACTTGGCTGCTTCAGGGTCAGGGGACAGGCACAGTCATTTGTGCAAGGACATTTTTGAGGGCCTGTCCTTCATGGAGCACAAATCCACATTCAGCGTACACTGGCGGGAGATAGGAACTAATATCCCTTGCCTTCAAGCAGTTCATTTTCTTTTGAGGGCCAGAACTGAACCAAATGCAAGAGTGGAACAGCCGTTAGGAAAGATCACGTCCATGAATATAAGTCAATGCAGCAGCACCTCCGTCATGTGTAACAGAGGCTAAAGATGCATGAGATAAAGGAGAAGTCAGGACAGTTTCCTGGAGGAAGTTTTTTTCTATTTTGGATCTGCCTTCAAAAAAGGAAAGAAACATGTTAGCAGGGAGATGCTCCCAGGCCCTCTCAGTGAAGTGGGTACATCCGAGTCTTGCCCAGTTGTGTGGTTTTCATGTTCATAGAAAAAGATTTTCTCTCGTCCCCCTCCTAACCATTTGCCCTCTGAGGCCCAGGCTTTCCCTCCCCTTCCCCATCCTCACAAACTGTGAGCACCAGGTGTTTCAGCCCATCTGACAACATGTCTGCCCCTTTTGGACCCGGGCTGGTGATATTAAGTGTCTCCTGCATGCCTTGACAGATGTCCTCCTTCATAGCAGTCACGCCCCGGTGACTTCCCTGGGAAAAGGCTCCAGCCCTCCCTCTTGTCCCCAGGGAGAGGTCCAGACGGACTCAGGTCATTGTCCTCAAATCCCCCCCGTGGCCTCAATATGGAGTTCAGCGTGCTTAGCATCTCCCGCAGGTGTCTTATCCTTGTGCAAGAACTCAAGACTTCAGAGGGTTAGACAGCCAGTGGGCAGCTGATGCTGACTCTGAAGAGCCTTAGAAAAGTCCCTGGGTTACATGATAAAGAATCGCTTTGAAATCTTCACTTGAAGGGAAAAATAAATCCATTTGAACAGATATTTCTCCAAGCAGTCAGACACAAAAGGGATTCTGATCGCTTCGTCAGGAGACCACCGTCCATGTCACTTCCTTCCAAGGAGTTTATTTTGTTGTTTGGCTCCTATTTTCTGAACTAATTCTGAAAACTTATTAAGATTTGGGGAGAAAGGGGCTGAAATTACTTCCACCTGCTTCTAACTTATGAGACCATGAGATTTTAATTTACGTGTGTGTGTGTGTGTGTGTGTGTGTGTGTGTATGATCTCACAAGACCACCAGCTTACTTCATGTATAAGCTGTGAACATTGTTTCAGCCATCTCTCTAGGATGTTTGGGAGCCATACTTCTTGGAGTGGAGAGGAATCCTGAGCCATTTTTCTAATACACTCTGTAAAGTACAATCCCTGAGGACCAAAGTTAACCAGCTGTTTCAAAAACTGAATTTAGAATGAGGAGATACCTGGAGGTGGACAGAAAGGTCTGTTCAGAGATTCTCAAAGGGAAGTTCCCTGGGGGACGAGGTCTCCAAACACCTGCACGTAACATCACACACTTTGTGCACTTACACAAACACAACCAGCGAAGTAGGTGACAGATGTCTGGCGTGGGGCTGGGTCTGCTGGAAAGAAGCCACTCTTTCTTAGTACAGTGGTGACTGCTCCTTGCAATGTAACTTGTGAAAACTGAATGCAGATGTGAAGCTGAGCAGTGAACAGAGATGCTCATGTGTGTGTGCTCAGTCGCTCCACCATGTCCAACTCTTTGCAACCCCATGGACTGTAGCCCACCAGGCTCTTCTGCCCATGGAATTTGCTAGGCAAGAATACTGGAGTGAGTTGCCATTTCCAATTCTAGGGAATTTTCCTGACCCAGGGATCAGACCCACGCCTTTTGCATCTCCTGTATTGGCAGGCAGATTCTTTAAATTGGGGTACCATCCAATTTAAATCCCCTGTGACTAGCCCTCTGTCCTGTCTCCCTGAAGGACAGAGCTGGCAGCATAGATGTCACGTGTCCATGTCTCACCGCTCTCTTATAGTGTCTTTTTCTAATTCACTCAGAGGTGAATCGGGACCAGATTCACCCAATGCAACCAGAGGGACACCTTTTCCTCACCTGCCCAGAGGCATTCTAGTCTACCTATTGCTCTGTTACTGCCTTATCTGCTTTAAGGCCTTGATACTTACTCTGGCATTTAAAGGGCTTGCCTGGTGGCTCAGATGGTAAAGAATCTGCCTGCAATGCAGGAGACCTGGGTTCGATCCCTGGGTTGGGAAGATCTCCTGAAGGAGGGCATGACAACCCCCACCAGTATTCTTGCCTGGAGAATTCCATGGACAGATGGGCTACAGTCTATGGGTTCGCCAAGTAGGACACGACTGTATGACTAACATTTTCACTTTCACTGGCATTGAAAACTTGAATATCTATGTCAAGAGTTACAATTTTGATTTTAAAATATCCTTGCAGATCCGTGGCCGTGCTAACAGAGTGTATGAGGAACAAGATGCTGGCCAAATTCTTCAGGGAACGGCAGGAAACTTTGAAACACTCACTGCCTCTGGGGTCCTATCTCTTGAAGCCAGTTCAGCGGATTCTCAAGTATCATCTCCTTTTACATGTAAGTTTCTGCCTGCACTGAAAGGACTTTCTAGAGGCTAGGGGTTTTATGTGTATATATTAAGTTTAGGAGAAAAAAAATCAGATGTGGACATGTGGAAACGTTTTCCACACTCATACTTTACAACTGACTAATCTGCTTTGAGGAATTAGAGATATTTATATTGTAGGCCTGCAGCCTCATTGACAACAGCCAAGTAGAAAGATTCATTTTAGCTCTGATGGTGAAAGGGCTTACAAGTCCTTCACTCCGGGCAGTGACAGTTTCAGGCAAGGAGCTGTCTTCTTAATGAACAACAGATTTTGCGTGTATGTTTTATTTTACTTCCATGAGCCCGGATTCGGTAGGCAGTTGGGAGTAAGAGCTGTTTGTCACAGATTGGCTTTTGTAGGAGCAAAGAGAAAGGGCTGAAAGGAGAGAAGACAGATGAGCAGTGTGATAAACGTCTTTGAGCTGGGCTTCACCTCACTTTGGGTTCTGTTCCCTTTATATCATTTCCCATTATTTGTACAAAATTTAAGGAGGCTTTAGAAACAAAAGTAGACATAGCTCTTATACATTCTCATTTCTTATCCTCTAAGGAAGCTGATAAAAATGGAAAATAGTATTCTCAAAGTAATTTCATTCTGTAAGGAGGGTGAATTGCCTTGGCAACTTGACAAAGACAGGATAGCCAAGTGGTTAGGTTAGGAGCAGGGCTGTGGTCAAGACACTACCTAGATTCCAGTCCTGTACATTTCCCACATTCATGGTGCCTCACAGGCAATCAGTACAGATAAACTTATTTTTATTCTATTACTTTGATTTATTTTTTTAATTGGAGTATAACTGCTCTACAATGGGGCTTCCCTGATGGTTCAGACAGTAAAGAATCCGCCTGCAGGACAGGAGACCCGGGTTTGATCCCTGGGTTGGGAAGATCCCCTGGAGAAGAGAATGGCTACCCACTCCCGTATTCTTGTTGCCTGGAGACTCCCGTGGACAGAGGAGCCTGGTGGGCTGCAATGTTATGTTAGTTTCTGCTATGAAACAAAGTGAACCAACTACATGTATACATGCATCCCTTCCCTCTTGAGCCTTCCTCCTACCCCCTGCTTTATTATTTTTAATGCTACATTAAAAATCTTTTCTTAAAAAGATTTAAATCTAGAGTTCCTATCTCCATCAACATGCCTGCAGTATACATGTATCTCTTTTTAAATGATTCCAGGCTTCTAACTTGGTTAAGCATTCCAAGGTTGCTCAGTTCACACGCATTTAAAACTTAAAGCACTCTTTATGGTCCATCTTTACCAGAAATTTCTCAGCTTTGTCTGTTTGCCTGTGTGGCCCATCTTGGGAGAATCTTGTGTCCTATGAAACCACATTGTGGATATTACTTTAGTTGTTCCATTGGCTTTAATGACCCTTAAGTTTAGTGGGATTAATTTACTAAATCGGTGCCAAATAATTCTTTAAAAAATACTGGCTTTCCCACGATAGATCTGTTCTGGACTCTGCTAATATGGTATAGACCGTAGCCTGCAAGGCTTCTCTGTCCATGGAATTCTTCAGGCAAGAAGACTGGAGTGGACTGCCATTCCCTTCTCCAGGGGATCTTCCCAACCTAGGGATTGAACCCGGGTCTCCTACATCACAGGCAGATTCTTTACCATCTGAGCCACCAGTGAAGCCCATCTGAATCTAGTGTGTCCCAGTAATATCTACTTAATGGCTTTCTAGACAGTAAGTCAATCAAAAGAAAAGTTTCAGATCTCTGTTACTTAAATAAGACTCCACTCAAGATTCTTACAAAGAGTTAACTGCTAGGAAGAACAGCCCTTACCCTCTAAATTAAAAGCTGGGATATTAGTACATGCTGCTATAACAAAATGCCATAACCTGGGTGACTTGGACAACAAGCATTTATTTCTCATAGTTTTGGAGGCTGGAAGTCAAAGATCAGAGGGCAAGCATGGCTGAGTTCTCATTTGCAGCCTGCCTTCTCCTCTTCATTTCCTCGCATGATAAAAAGAGGCAAGACTGCTCTCCGGGGTCTCTTTTATGAGAGCACTAACCCCATTTATGATGGCACCACTCTCATGGCCTCTTGTTTGGTCACTAAATCCTGTTTAATTCTCGGGTCTGCAGCACGCCAGGCTCCTCTGTCCTCCACTGTTTCCTGGAGTTTGCTCAAATTCATGTCCCTTGGATCAGTGATGCCATCCAACCATCTCATCCTCTGCCACCCCTTTCTCCTTTTGCTTCAGTCTTTCCCAGCATCAGGGTCTTTTCCAATGAGTCGACTCTTCGCATGAGGTGGCCAAAGTATTGGAGCTTCAGCATCAGTCCTTCCAATGAATATACAGTTGCTTTCCTTTGAATTTACTGGTTTAATCTCTTTGCTGTCCAAGAGGACTCTTAAGAGTCTTCTCCAGCACCACAGTTCAAAAGCATCAGTCCTTTGGTGCTCAGCCTTCTTTATGGTCCAACTCCCACATCCGTACACGGCTACTGAAAAAACCATAGCTTTGACTAGACAGACCTTTGTCAGCAAAGGGGTGTCTCTGCTTTTTACTGCATTGTCTAGGTTTGTCATAGCTTTCCTTCCAAGAAGCAAGCGTCTTTTAATTTCATGGCTGCAGTCACTGTTTGCCTGGCCTAGTTACCTCGAAGCGCCCCCATCCTAATCCCAGCACATTAGAGGAAAGGATTTCAAGATACTAATTTGTGGAAGATACAACCACTCAGTCTATAATAGCTGAGAGTGAAGAAAAAAGGGAAGAACAGTGATTAGATGAATTTAAAACTGACTTCTGGTTTCCTGGAGTATTTTTGCTTTCATACTTGCTTTAGAGTGTTCCTTCTGTATCATTCACATCACTTCAAAGTTGTGTAGTCACCCGTGACGATCCCCACAGGAATACACTGTACTCCTGAGTCTGTTTATGATCAACAGGAGTGCCTCTCAGGCTAAAAGAAGAAATCATTATTTTTTAAAGTTTGCTGTTGATCTTACCTGGGAGTTATTCGTGATATGGTTTCATAGGACCTTTCTAACAACTGAGTCTGAGTGTAGCAAGAAGATGTAAATTCCTTGCCCGTTTCTAGCTGGATGGAAAGTTTGAGGATTCAGTAAAAGTGATCAAAGGAATTTGTTCACTATAAATTCTATAGTCAAAGGACTATAAAACAATGGAATTTTCATCATTTATACCATAAGATTCAACCTGCACCCTTGAGCTTAACATGTGTGCATGATAAGTATCATATAGTTGATCATAATATCTTCTTGCTGTTTTAGGTATTTATTGGAATTTAGATACCTACAAGGTATTGCTGCTCTTTTAACAAGATACAGCTTCAATTAAAAAAGCATTTATTTACCACCTAGCTCTCTGGTGGGCACTGTTGAGAAGATAAAGGATTAAAGGAACTATGCAATAGTCCCTATCCTTAGACTCACAGAAGTTTAAGGACATGTGTCTTGTGTACTTGAAAGAACTGGAATAGAACCCTGTCCCTTTCTCATCTGCCTGGGACTGTGGAACTCCAGTGCCCTGCTAAGGGCTGGTGTTACATTCTTCTGAGCACCAGAGAGTGAGTACTTGAACTATAAGCTCTCTCTCAACACTCAGAAGGAGTGTCTTTAGTGAATTTCATCTGGGCTTTAAAGCCTTGACTACAAGAACATACACTTTCTACATAGGTATTTTTTTAAACATAATGTCCACTATTTTCTCTTTCTTTTTTAGTTTGTTATGTACTAAGACCTGTGTGTGATGTTTTGCTTCCTCTGGGAGAAAAAAAAAATCAGTATATTTTCTGTATTTTAAGAGTGAGAACTATATAGATTGGCAACCAGGAATTTCAGAAATCTCCAACTGTAATATCAACTCTCCTCTCTCCTACAATCACCCTGATGTCTCTGTGAGACTTAATGGTACACTTGTCTCATCATCCTTGTCAAATTCCTCCTTGTAATGGTATACTTGTCTCATCATCCTTGTCAAATTCCTCCTTGTAAAATTCTAATCAACTTCTATCTTTCCTAACTCCATTTTTATTCATTCTTTTCTTTGCAGGTTTTTCTGGTAGTTATCTCAAGATCTTAAGGAAAGATAGTAGAGTATAAATAAATAAGCAAAAATAAAATGAGAAACTCATCATAGAAGTATGATTTGTTTCAGTGAATATATGAAAAAAAAATAATGAGGGTGGTTTTTGTTGTTTGTTTTTGTTTTAGGAAATAGAAAATCACCTTGACAAGGACACAGAGGGCTACGATGTGGTGCTTGATGCCATAGACACGATGCAGAGAGTAGCCTGGCACATCAACGACATGAAGCGGAAGCATGAACATGCAGTCCGCCTGCAGGTGAGGCTCAGGGCGGCAGTGTCTGGTGAGACCGTGGGCCTGTTGCTTGTTACCGTTTCCCAGATCAGATCCTAAGTCTGCTCAGTTATCACAGGTCACTCAGAGTCTTCATCATAGATCTTGCTAAGAAAAGATCAGGACAAAAAAAAAAAGAAAAAATTAGGACATCAGTAATACTGATCATTGTTGAATGTAGTTATTATGGCTCAGGGAACTCAAACTGGGGCTCTGTGACAACCTAGAGGGGTGGGATGGGGTGGGAGGTGGGATGGGGTGGGAGGTAGGGGGGAGATTCAAGAGGGAGGGGACATACGTACACCTAATTCATGTTGATGTATGGCAGAAACCAACATGATATTGTTAACATGGCTAATTCATGGCTAATTCATGTTGATGCATGGTAGAAACCAACATAATATTGCAAAGTTGTTATCCTTCAATTAAAAATAAATCAATCCCTGAGTCAGGAAGATCCCCTGGAGAATGGAATGGCAACCCACTCCAGTATTCTTGCTTGGAGAATTCCATGGACAGTGGAGCCTGACAGGCTACATACAGTCCATGCAGTTGCAAAGAGTCAGATGCAATTGAGTGTCCAAACTGTGTGAAAGGGTTTTAAGCCCCTATTCCTCTGTCACTAGTTCACACAAAGTCATGAGATGGTGAACATGTGGTGATGGGGCAGGGGACTCGGGAAGGAGGACTAAGTCCAGAACCAGGTCCTTAGCAGCTTTCCTAGAGAGGGGACATCACCACTGCATTTTAAATCCCTCACTTTTAAAATAAGACAAATTTGCTAATGTCCCTTCCATCGTCACCGTATTTAGCTCTAAATTCCTGAGAACTTTGGGTAGATGCTAAGTCAGTGACCATGTCCTAGGCACCTTAGAAGATGCACTATTTAAAAACTGAAGGTCATGTGTGCTCAGAGACTAGGCCGAGGCTCTTGGTTGTCCCCGGAGTAAAAGAAAAGCCCAGTGTGACTCCATACTATGCAGAGCGCCTGCATTCAGCTTGGGAGGGGAGAAAACCATGTCCTTTGGCCCATACATTCAAACAGAGCTCTAGGTTTCATCCACATGCAGCCAGAGGGTGGTAATTGACTGTCAAAAATCAAAGGAAGAGGACATTCTAATCTTCCAGGCCATATCTGCTTTGTGTAAGCAATAATAAAGGTTTTAATGCTTCATCATTGAAGTGTTCTGTGGACATAATGTCAGACATACTGTCAGCTAGATATTCAGAAATGGATCAATGACTTTTTTCATAGCTTAGGAGTCTATCTGGCAGTCTGAAGACAGCACTAAATCAGTCTCTGGCTCTGAATCACCTCCATTTGTACCTTCAACTTAAGAATTGTAGAGTGGTTTTGTGGGCTGCTTAATTCAGTGCTGTTTTTGAATATTTTCATTTTTCCAAAAGTAACAAAATCCATTTTCTTTAAAAAGTTAATATGGACATACAATATATCCCAAAGAAACTTCAAAGTCGGGTTATCCATTTCTATTTATCAAGTTCCATTAAAAATGCAATGGGGGACTTCCCCGGTGGTCCAGTGGTTAAGAATCTGCCTTCCAATGCAGGGGACACAAGTTCGATCCCTGACCAGGGAACTAAGATCCCATATGCCAAGGGGCAACTAAGCCCACCCAGGGGAACTACTGAACCCATGAGCCACAACTAAGATCCAATGCAGCCAAAAAACAAAAACAAACAAAAACCACACTGGTGAAGAAACGTTCATTTCCTTTGCCCTAGTGAATGAGATTAATGTCAGAAAATTTCTGAGAAGATGCATCTTGTGTTATCTTCTACCAGTTTTCATTATGGGTTTCTTGTATGTAGTGTGAATTCAATTTCTGGAAGAAGGTTTTTAGGTCAGTAGCTCTGAAGGTTTTGTCCAAAAGATAAGGGATGAGTATATCTTGGGAAGGATGGTGAGAAGTCCATACACCAGCAGCCTCTGTACCTGGCTTTTGAAAAACAACCCCACTGCTGTAGTAGAGGGATTATCACCGAATGGGAAGAAGTAACTACCAACTTGTCAAATAACACCTTGGTTCCGTTCTATTAACCCTTAAGTGACACCAGCCCTAAAGGTAGATTTATGTCGTGGACATCAGACATCATCAGACACCACTCAGGACCCTGAGACCCTGCCACGGGTATTTGGACCCCATTCTTGAGGCTCAGAGGGCTTCCCAGGTGGTGCTAGTGGCAAAGAGCCCACCTCCCAAAGCAGGAAACAGAAGAGGTGGGTTCGATCTCTGGGTCGGGAAGATTTCCTAGAGGACGAAATGGCAACCCACTCCAGTATTCTTGCCTGTAGAATCCTATGGACAGAGGAACCTGGCAGGCTACCATCTATAGGGTCACAGAGAGTCAGACACGATCGAAGCAACTCAGCACGCATGCACCCATCAAGGCTCAACAAACCGGCCCCTGTGTCCTCCCCGCCTTGCCCTCCCACCTCCTGCTTAATCACAGGAAACGTTCACTCTTTCAGGAGATACAGAGTCTGCTCACCAACTGGAAGGGCCCAGACCTGACCAGCTACGGGGAGCTGGTGCTCGAAGGAACCTTCCGCCTCCAGCGGGCCAAGAATGAGCGGACGCTCTTCCTCTTTGACAAGCTGCTGCTCATCACCAAGAAGAGAGACGACACGTTTACATACAAAGCCCACATCCTGGTAGGTCTGAGTGGGTATCCCGGGTGGGGACTGGGGGAGCTGGTTCCGCTCCCTTGCGAGCCTGCCTCGCCCTCTCTGCTCGCCCCTCCAGTGCGGCAACCTCATGCTGGTGGAAGTGATCCCAAAGGAGCCCCTGAGCTTCAGCGTCTTCCACTACAAGAACCCCAAGCTGCAGCACACGGTTCAGGTACCAGCGTCCCCTTGCCTCCCTGTGAGGCTCACCCTCATGCATGATGAGCACCACATGCCTGACGGCCTTTCCACGGCTTTATGGCCACCCTGCGTGTGTCCCATCTGGTCAGAGGTCCTAGGAGTGGCCGTGTCTTGTGAGAGGTAGGGTTGCCTGACTGTCCACCTCTCCTCCTGGTAGGCGAAGTCGCAGCAAGACAAACGCCTGTGGGTTCTGCACCTGAAGAGGCTGATCCTAGAGAATCATGCAGCGAAGATTCCAGCTAAGGTAAGACCATGAGGGCAATGAACAATGAAATGGAAAGGAATTCAGATCTCAGGAAGACAGCCTGATGGGAATAAATGTGCACTTTCAAAATGAAGATTGTTGAAATAGAAGCTACATAAGGAACAACTGCACCAGCCATTCATACTGAAAAGATTCATATACAGAGAGACTCTTGGGAGAGTTTTTGGTTTGTTAATGTTGTTGTTGTTTGAAAGAAGAAAAATAAGGGAAAGATTGTACAAAAAATTTATAGAGAGCGAGTAGAAAATAAAGGGATTTATGAGAATTATTCAATGGTGTGCTAAGTACCTAGGGTAAACAAAGCTGGCTTAGGTTCTGTGGGAAGCGAGACCCAGACTTGGCCATGAAGGAATCTGCAGACAAGGGAGCTAGTCATATAAATGATGAACTGTTTGCTAAATATGATGAATGAATAGAGAGATAAACCAAGTATTGTGGATGAGTAAAGTATTCAAGTTTGTGGTCGAGTGAGGAGAGGAAAGAAAATGCCTTTTACCTCAGTATTGGCAGATGAGGAATATTTTTATTAAGTGGGGAAAAGGACAAGGGAAACCAAGCTAAGAGGACAGCATAAACAAAAAAACAGAGGTGTGAAAAGAGGCCTTTGTTAAACAGCACGCAGATTGTGCTTGAATGGAAGTCCACAGATTGAATGGTTGAGTTCTCAGGAGGTGTGGAGTAGGAGGTAAGATTAGGAAAGTGGAAAGCAGTCAGCTGAACTTTGAAGGCTTTGAACACACACACACTGAGGAACCTGGATTATTGTAGGGGGAAACTCCTGAAGGTTTTGGAGGGAGGGGATGGTCTGTTTTGTGTTCTGAGAGTGTCACTTTGGGGGCAGTGTGACGGATAAGCTGGTGGAGCATCACTGGCAGCAGGAAAAGAATTGGCAGGTCTCCATGGTGGGCTAGAAAGGAGAAGAGGGGCACAGCCAGGGAGCATAAGAGGAGGAGGAGAGGCAGTGTAGAAGAGGAGAGGGAGAAGTAAGTCAAGGATGAGTCAGGTGTTGGGCCAAAAGGATGGTGTCATAAGTTCCAAGACAGGCTGCCAGGGGGACGAACCAGTTGGATGGGCCCAAGAGGGAGGCGTGGCCCATGTGCAGGGGCAGTTCAGCTGCAGGAGAGACGCAGGTCTCTCCACCCAGGCAGTCACCAAAGCCCGGAGATTTGATAAGAGGGCCCATGCAAATGCAAAACAGGAAGACAGACCCTTGGGAATCCAACATCTAAGTGCTCGGCAAGGGGCAGGGGATTTGGAGAAGAATCAAAGATAGAGTGGCCAAGTGAGGCAGTAAGAAAACCAAAGGAGAAAGGTGTGGTAAGAAAAAAAGGAAAGAACCTCTCTGAGAAAGAGTGGAGTAACCGTCTCAAAGGCCACAGAGATGACAACAGATTCAAACAGAAAAGCAGGTATTAGGTTTGGCAGCTAAGAGATAAGGGAGAGAGAGAGCAGTAGGTCGAAGAGAAATAAGGAACAGACCAGGTGTGGCCTTCATTTTTTAAATAAAGTTCAGAAGGGCCAAACAGTGGTAGTTTGAGGAGAGGTAAGATCAAAGGAAGACACTTTGCCCTCATGAAGAATGTTGTGGGCACGTGGGCTGAGGGGATGAGGAAAGGAAATGGGAGACAGGAAAGATAAGAGGTGGGGCACTCCTTGGAATGTGACTCTGGGGAGATGGTAGGATAGGGACAACCTTAATCCAGAATTTGGGGAGGGGGTGTGTACTGTAAATACAGTCTAATAAAAACATTAGATTGTGAATATAATGATGGTAACTCAAAACTTATTGTTTACTAAAAAAATATTCAAGAACTGCTAATGCACACCTCCATATATAAAAACATGGGTTTTTCAAGCTTTTAAAAGCTAGAAGTAATTCCACTGGTCTTAGGAACCAAAAGTTGATGCAACTCTATGTAAAATTTAACAAATCCATTCACCTTCTTTATACTAATACACTTTTTATGTTAACTTTACCAGCAGGTGTAGGGGTTAGTCTTGTCAAGAGTCAGAAACATCTTCCCTGAGCTGGGGGAAGAAGAAAAATAAGAGAGGATAAACTTTGAGGTGGACTTGAGAGAGCTTAAAGGGTTTGCCTTCACTAAAGTTGCTGGTAACAGCATCTGCCGGGTGAGTAAAGCAAAGATGGGGCTAGGTGTCCAAGGGCAAGTGGAGAGCTTCAGAGCACGGGCTAAAGAACATGGACTAGGGACTTCCCTGGTGGTCCAGGGGCTAAGACTCTCTGCTCCCAGTGCTGAGGGCCTGGGTTTGACCCCTGATCAGGGAAATAGATCCCACATGTGGCAATTAAGAGTTCCCATGCCACAACTAAAGATCTTGCATTCAACAGCAGAGATCAGAGATACCACGTGCCACAGCTAAGATCTAGTGCAACCAAATAAATAAATGTTTAAAAAAAAAAAAAAAAAAACACCATGGACTAGAGAGTCAGTGGGGATGGCTACAGTCATCTGTGAAAGGAATCTGGACCCCATTGAGGCTGACCACCACAAACCAATGTGATGACTCAGCAACTTTGAAACTAGTGTGAGGAACCCTGGCACACATATGTTACCCAAGGCTGGGGACCAGCAGAGCAGTGAGGGGAAAGGTTAACAGGGAAGGCACAGTGCTAACCAGCATCCAGCCTGCAGTGATTGAACATAATTCCCAGGCTGAGTGGAGCGTGAAACCAGCCAGGAGAACAGGTGCATGTTGAAGGATAAGTCAGAGAACTGGTTCAGCAAGAGTCTGGGTGGAGAGATGGAAATACAGAGATCTGTCATTGAAGGAGGGACTTTTGGAGTCCTGCCTGCAAGGGAGGGCACTTCTGGGTTATGATAAGGCTCTGGGGGCAGCTATGATTATGCATTGCTTGCTGTTCTGGAGTGGAGGGAAAGGCTGTCCTAAAGGATACGGAGATCCACACGCAGGGGGAAGGGGTCTCTGCTGGGGCGGGGAGGAGGCAAGTAGAGCAGTAAATGGGATGATGCTCATGAGAGCAGAACTGGGTGGAAAATGACGCAATCTGAGATTTCTGAGAAAGAAAGTCTGTTTGCTCTTTGCATACTTTTTGAAAAGTCTGTGAAGCTTGTCCTCAGGGGCTGTCAGCAGCGCTTCTGTGCCCAGAAAATGAATGTGTATGGGTGTGGGCTTTGACTGAGGTGTGAGTCTCAGCTCATCAGGGCGTTCCAAGGGGTCAGGTAACTCATGCAGAGAGGTGAATGCATTTTCTTCATACTTAGTCATTTGTTCGCTGGCCTCGTCTCTTGGAATGCCCTTCTGAGCAAATGGCAGGTGCCATTGATAAGCCCCACCTGTTGTTCTCCTGTCCCTGGGAAAATGAAAACCGCCACAGAGGTTCTGAAAGGCAGTTATTGGCCATTACAAAATGAAGCTAGCTTACAGAACTTCCTCTTTCTCCCACACTAGGGGGTGTGTATTCCAGGCAGTTTTCCCTTTGTATTTTATAAGGATTAATAGAGTCACAGTAGAACTGTACTTTTTTGTCCCTGATCCTTTTAGGATGTAAATGATCTATTTTTTCAGCTACAAATGCTTGAGTGTGCTGAGAAATATGCTTATTTCTTCAAAATGCCTTCTGCGAAAGGTCGTGTTCTCCCCATTCTAGAGAAATAAAAACAGAGGCTCAGAGATGGAAAGTAAACTGACCTCATTTATGCAACTAGTATATGAATGAGTCCAGATTCAAACCTAGTTCTGCCTCGCCCCAAAGATGGTCTTAACTACATTGTTCCCAGGGAAAATGAAAGCACTCTTATTTACTATATTATATCCACTATAAGCTTATGATAATTTTCTATCTTATTTAAACAGGATTATTAGTAATCTGAATTTTTCACTATTTCTTAAATTATTTTCTTAAAGCTTTCAAAATATATTTACTCTTATTAAATAAAATGCATAATGGGAAAAATATCAAAAAATGTATCATTGTTCTACTATTTAACAGCTTAAGAAGTTAGGTTCCTCCTAAAGAGTCAACACAACTTAACAACTAAACAAACAGCAAAGAACAAAACCTCTTTCTGGTCCTTTAATTCTGTGATGGTCCTTGACTGGCCCCTAATGGAAAATGTGGGAATAGTACTTTTTGATATTAACTGTCAAGGCAAGAAATAAAAATACTAAGTTCTTAAAGTCAAGCGTATAAATATCAAGAAACTTCCTGGAAGTTAGCCATATGGTCCATCTATATACGTGGTATACACTAACTTTTGTCCAGATTAATTGGGAATAAGGTGCAGGTAGAAACTGTAGGATTTTCTATATACACATGGTTCTGCAAATGCCCTTCACAGCAATTGAGCAAACATTTGTGTCTAAAATTAACTTGACTAGTAACCTCAAACTCTGAATGTATGATAAAAAATATCAGTGCTATTAAAAAAAAACTAAGCATTTGTTTTCTCAAAATTAAGGTGACTACATCAAGGATTTTTTTTTTTTGATTGCCACTTAGCCTAGACATTTTTACTGTGATGTCACATACTGTGACAAAGTAAAATTATTCTGTAAGTTATTCTTAGCATAATATTTGTAGGCTCAGTCACACTACCTTGAAAAATGAAAATGACATTCAGGAGGCAAGAAAGCTTACCTTATTTTTTTCTTCTTTGAATCCTCGGGCAAAATAATTCATATTAAGGCCATTAACCTATCTGTTCATAGTTCCCTAAAAGTCGATAACATATGACAACAATCAACCAAAAGAAGCCTCACAGCGGTAAACTTCAGAAGCTCAGGGTTGAGGTGGGGAGAAGGATGTCTGTAGAGGAAGCAAGGGTCAAGGTCATCAGGGTCAGTCCCCTGCGGGAGTAGATGGTAACTAGCTGGGTTAAACGGCTGTGATTTGCTATCAGCAGCAAGTATGAAAGCTGGGTCCTATCTACCCATCTTTAGGTTGAGGGAACTCATGCAGAAATTTGAGAGCACCTGCCTAGTTAAGAGCTAGAGCTGGATCGCGGCCGTGTCCTCCAGGGCTCTTCTCCCACACTGCAGCTCTTTCTCCCCCTCGGGAGATTCCAGGGCACACGAAAGAGATGGTGGTACAGGCATGCTGCAGGGAGCTGGGAGAGTCAGCTGATAAGTTTATCATATTTGGAGGAAGGAAAACATAGAACTGGCCAGCAACTATTTTGCATTCAGCTTAAAAGAGTTATCATGCCCTGTGATATGAGGAGGGCTGGTGGTGTAGGTTCTGTTCCTTGAACCTTTGATTGCATAGACTGAGATTGGATTCAATAGACCAGGGTTGGGGTAGAAGGAATCTAGATTGTATGATAAGCTGCTCAGCCAAGGTATGGATCCTTTGATGAAAGTGTCTTTCTCTCTTTCCCTCTTCTTTTCCCTTCCTCCTCCTCCCTCTGTCTTCTCCCACCCCACCTTCCCTCCTTTCTTCCTTCCCTTTTTTCTTTCCTGGTGGAGGCTGTAAGCTTAGCCCCGGGGCACTGAAGGGACAGCATCTACCATCCACACAAGGATGCTCAACTGTTTGAATCCCTTGAACTCTGTATTAGTGCCTAAAAAAAAATGAGTTTTCATTTTATAAAAACTTTTTAAAAACCACTCGTCCCAGTGGGCTAAAACATGTCTTGGGGTTGGCAGTTTAAAAAAGAAACAAACAAAACAGGACTTTGTAATTATAACTACATCTTCTTTCTTTCAGGCCAAGCAAGCAATACTTGAAATGGATGCCATTCGTAAGTTTTGGGGTTTTTTGCACAATTTGAAATTTCATTGTCTATTTGTATCTGTCACATTTTCTGTCTTCAGGCTTACAGGATGTAGGTTGTCAATTGTGAGATGTCAAAACTCAATTGTAAGAAAGTAGCAGCTCTCTATTTACTGTTGTAACAAAAAGATCCAGTTGAACTCTTTTTAACCCATTGGCTTCTTTCTCCATTGATTTCTCCTGGTTCATCTGTGAGCCCACCAATTGTTCATCACATGTCTCCACATCAACTCACAACAAGCTATGCTTCCAGGATCACCTCTTACCCCACCTCCATCACCGCCAAAACAATGAAGGTCTTACAATGCATTTCCCACATCACCCCATAAGCCAAAAATACATTGATTATCTGCAAGAATCACACTAACTTGATAGGTGTTGGTTCCTGATACAGCTCACATTTAAAGTTAGAATTGCCCCACACATGTGACTGTGTCTTACACTTCTCATAGCAGGCAGAGAATAAATACAAGTGAGGTCTTTCCAATAAAATAAGACCTGTTCAAAGCACTTACCACGTCCTTGTTACCGCCTGGGTTAAACAGACTTTGAAAAGAAGCAATAGCTTCAAAGACTTACAGCCAAGTCTGACAGAAACTTTCACTTAAAACTTCCTACCTTTGAGGAATCTTTCCCCAAGTACAAACACTAATTCACTTACACAACACCCTCTCTTCCTCCTAGCCTGCTGGTTGTTAATCTCCAGCAGGAAAAGAAATGAAACGTTACTGAAATAAAGAAATGAGCCCCAGCACCGAGATTCCCCATTGCATGCCCACTGGACGCCACCAGGAAATGATGCAAGATGACCCCACCAGAGAGCTAGGCTGGGGCTCACTGCCCTGTGTTCTCTGAAGCCACTTATTTTATTCAGTAAAAGTCTCTTTAAGATTCTTTTTTTTTGAGGGGGAGGGGGGAGTGGGTGGTGGCTTAGATGGTTAAGAATCTGCCTGCAATGCGTGAGACCCAGGTTTGATCCCTGGCTTGTGAAGATCCCCTGGAGAAGGGAATGGCAACCCACTCCAGTATCCTTGCCTGGAGAATCCCATGGACAGAGGAGCCTGGCAGGCTACAGTCCATGGGGTCGCAAAGAGTCGGATGCAACTGAGCAACTAACACATAGTTGATTTTCAGTATATCATTCCCAGGTATGCAACAGTGACTCACAGTTTTTAAAGACTTTACTCTATTTGTAGTTATGATAAAATATTGTCTGTATTCCCTGTGCTGTACAATATATTCGTATAGCAGATTTACTTTATCAATATGCATATAGTACATATGGGCACTCTGAAGAGAGGGTGAGGTCAGGGATGGGCATGTGAGGATGAGGAGGAAAGATGGAGAAAGATGGGGATCCAGAGGGGTCAGCTGTTCAATCCCAGTCTCTGTGGTACCACTGGTTAGTGAGTTCAGCTGTTAATCCAAAGGTTGGTGGTTCGAGCCCACCCAGGAACACTGTGTTTGGGCTTCCCAGGTGGTGCTAGTGGTAAAAAAAAAAAAAAAAACACCCACCTACCAATGCAGGAGATAAGAGACACAGGTTTGATCCCTGGCTTAGGAAGATCCCCTGGAGGGAGGGTATGGCAGCCCACGCCAGTATTCTTGCCTGGAGAATCCCATGGACAGAGGAGCCTGGCGGGCTACAGTCCATTGGGTCACAGAGTCAGACACTACTGACGTGTCTTAGCAAGCACAGCGATTCAACATGACTGGCTACATTTGACGACATTGTTTGTTTATTCCCAGGCTCTGGGTTAGCTCTTGGACACCAACAAGGACATACTGTGTAGCCCAGGGAACTCTGCTCAATGTTATGTGGCAGCCTGGATGGGCACGGGGCTGGGGGGAATGGATACGTGTGTGTGTATAGGTGAGGAGTTGTGCTGTGCCCCTGAAATTATAGCATTGTTAACCAGTTATACTCCAATATAAAAAAATTTTTAAATAAATTACAGATTAATTGCACAGATAGTAATTACACATTCTTTTTTTAAAAAAGTATGAGGCTTGAGACCTGAGTATAACTAACAAAGAAGAAATAAATAACACAGAAAAATAATTCTCTGAGCACACAGCATGCCGGCAAGCCTCTAACTGGCATCCTGTGCCTCTCTTCCAGGCCAGGTTCATCCACAGCATCCCAGCCTAGGAAAATTACCCTACTTGCTGTACCCTGACTTTGGTCTCAGCCGGCTGTGAACAGAAGAGGCCAGTCCATTGGACCAAATGACCTCATTTGGATACCTTTGACTCTGACATTGAAGTCTATGTGGTTTTTATAATCCTCAGAACTTTCTCACACTTCAGACAGACCTAAAGATGCTTAACCTCAATTTGAAGAATACCCATCTACAGCTATGTCCTAACACTGTTTATCCCTCAAGCTTCAGGGTGCAGATGGTCATTGATTATGCTGCAATACTTTAGACTTAGACCAGATTTTCTTAATCCAAAGTCTGTGTACTCCTTAGATGAAATGAAATGAAAATCCCTTTTCTGAGAAGAGAGCTTAAACCATTTAAACTGTGTCTAGAAAAATGAGGAGGACAGCTTCCACGGGGTCAAGGAAGGGCTTAGCACCCTCCACCACCATGCCAGGCAGACGTGCCTCTTGAAATTGCTCCCCAGATGGAATTCTCCAGGCACTTGTGCCGTGACTGGGGCTCTGTTATGGCCCTTTTCTGAAGCTTCTCAGGAGTCTTGTTTTTTTTTTAATTTAATGTAACTGTCTGACCTCTGTGGGTCTCAGAGTTGCAGGTGAGTCTGAATGGGTACCAGAAGTTACCACACCTTACACATTTGAACTAACTTTCTAGGAAGGGGAAAGCCAAAGGCTGTAGCTCTTTCTGCCAGAGAGTAAAGAAAGTAGTAGGGAGAATACATGTGAGTGCCTGGGGGTGTGGGAGGGGGTGGAAGTGGAGAATGTGGTTTACCTTGCTAACACACTCCTGCAAAGTCTTGAGATGCATATTCAACACCGGTTATGGAAGGAGGGATTCTACTATGTCTAATGAAAAAGAATAAATCCACAGATACCCAGGACAAGTTCTTCCCATTTTCTGAAAAGTCACGGAACACTGCATTCTTTTTTTTTTTTTTTGATGTATTTATTTTAATTGGAGGCTAATTACTTTACAGTATTGTGGTGGGTTTTGCCATACATCGACATGGATCAGCATGGAACACTGAATTCTTATAGACACCTGTGGTTCTTTACAGATTACCCAGGCTTCTGTTACAGTCCCGAGGGAGAGACTTGTGGCTCTCGAAATGGCTCTGCTCCGTATCGGCTGAGAAGGAAATCTGGTAAATACAATATAATCAGATATAATCAAAATTAAATAACTTGGGGGCACTAGTAATGAAAGTCCCTTTCAGCTAGACAAAAAGGTATTTTCTTTCTGGTTTTTGAACACATCGCCAGTTTTATTATCTTTGATGCTCTCAAGCTTTGGTTCTAAAAGTCTTTCTACTTAACTCTCAATTTTTCAATGACTATAAAACATGTCAATCAACTAAGTTCACTTTGTATAGCATTTTACCACTAGTATGCAGGTGTTTAAATCCTACTTACTGGCGCTGGTGAAAAATTGTATCCTGTAAATGATGTATACCAAAACTACTTCAAATCAAAAATTTTAATACACATCTGCTAAACTAGACTTCTTGTGGTATCCCCTTATCCCTCAGATTTCTCTTCATTTAAATCGGCATTTACTAAGTTCCTGATTTCCTACATTGTGCTAAGAAAATGTAAGAATAATGCCCATGATTTCTGCTTGCAAAGAGTTTGTAGCCTAGTGGGAGAGTCAAAAAAGGTTGAACAAATAGCAGCTCATACAGTGGAGTTTGTAGAGGTTGAACGGAAGTTTTGAAAAGGGGAGCGACAGAGGGGTGAGCCCTCTAGGAAGGAGAGAAGACCATGCAGGGCGGAGGATCAGGACCCTGGGTAGAATCTGAAGAGCCAGATGGTGTGGGGACAGCATATGCAAAGGCCCTGAGGCTTTGAGTCAGCACACCTTAGATCAGACAGCTATTGCCAGTTGTTTGGCCTTGGCTGCAGCATGGGCTGGAGGTACCAGTGAGCAAGGTAAACGGAAAAAGATGTGGCTGGAGTTGCAAATCCGGGCCTGATTGTGGAAGGCCAAGTAGGTCAGGCAGAGGGTTTGAACTTGATCTTGCAAGCTATGGAAGGATTTTAAGCAATGAAATGTTTTCATTTTAAAAGAGAATTCTGGCTTAATGTGGAAAATGAAGTAGGCAGGGACACTGGGCCAGAGGCTCTTCCTCTAGTCTGGGCAAGAGATGCTAAAGGTTTGGAATGAGACAGTGATAACTGGGAAGGAACATCAATAGGATCCCACAGGACTGTGATGGATGAAAATGGGAAAAACTTAAAATGATGTCCTGGTCACTAGGTAAGATAACGTGAATGGCAACCAAGGTAAGAACTACAGATGGAGGAGCAGCTGTGGGGGAGACTGGTGAGCTGAGATTGGGATATGCTAAGTTTGCTGAGTCTGTGGCCATGCTGGGGACATGTCAGATGGACAGTTGGTGTCTGAGGTTTGGCATAGGGCTCTGGCAGAAGGAGATTGAACATAATCCTCTTATAGGTGGTACTTAAAGCTGAGAACATTGTGCTTCTGTGGGTTGGGTTGGTTTTCTGTTAGGTGACTCCAGATTGCATAGCATAGTGTTCATCCTATAGTTTTGACTGAGTGAATGTCATGCCAAGTATCTCCAAGCAGTCAGGATTTAGGTGAATTTGGGTGGCAGAGGATGAGATGGGTAGCTAGCATCTCTGACTCAATGGACATGAATTTGAGCTAACTCCGCGAGATAGCGGAGGACAGACAAACCTGGTGTGCTGCTGTCCACAGGGTCGCAAAGGGTTGGATACGACTTAGTGACTGAAAAATAATAATTACTTATAAAGAAAAAAATCTTGATTTGGTTTCACAAATAATGCTGGCCTTATTTTTTTCTCCCAGAACCTTCCTCAAGATCACATAAAGTTTTGAAGACCAGCGGTAAGTCCTAAATCACTTTTTTTTCATTCCTGTTGATATCCACGAAGTCACACAATATACAGAAAAATCAACACCAGATGTATTACAGATTAGTAGGTTGGATTAATGTCTGTAAGTAATACTGTCCCATTATAAAATATAAAGCTGAATGACATAAAATGTTTGTAGTATAGATAACAGTGGACATAAAAAGATTAATGCTTGTGAATATTGATGTAAGAAATCCCATTAATACAAAAGACAAAGGACTTCTATTCTGAAGGCAGATAATATAATCTGGCAGAAACACAAATTGCCAATAAAATTTACAAATGGTCACTCACATTAGTAATCAGAAAATCATACATATACGTGAGATAAACAGAGGTGAGAGAGCTTGGGCTTGGCCAAAAGAAGAGAAAAACAGACACTCTGAAGCTATTGGTGTATAAATTTCTGCAGTGTTTTTGGAGCAAAATTTGTTAATGCCCACTTAAATTTTAAATGTGCATTTTCCCTTGAACCAACAATTTCATAGTTTTCACTTGTATGTTTCACAATGTATACTTCCTATATAGACATTCTCAGTATGCACACATTTATGAGTATTTGTGTTCTTTTGCTTTTAACAGGATACCACATAATAAATATGCCCATCTAGTGAAAAATGATTTAAAAAGTTATAAATCCCAGAACACTACATGGAATATTCTGCAGCTGTTAAAAAGAATGAAGTACATATCTGTCTACTGATAGGCTTGTGCCCATATATTTAGCAGGAAATGCAGTGTTGCATATTGCACCCTTATTATAGAAACAAAAAGACTGTGGGATGGGGGGCAGGGTGGGCACAGGACCTGGAAAGATGAACATCAGACTTCTTTGATTGGGGTTTCCTCTATGGGGTAGAATTTGTGGAGAGGGTTCAATCACTTTTCACTTTACATGCTTCTGTAGTCAACACATAAAGATGAGACAGACATGATCAGGGTATCGTAAGGGTATCTATGAGGATGCAGCTAGTAAGTGTCTCCCCACCATTCCTCTCGCACTGTCCTTAGCACAGACCCAAGGTGACCCTTTTGATCAATGATATACCTTTCTGTTACAACCGATAAAATATTTAAAAATTAACAAGTATAATCTTATGTTTAAATGATTTTCATGGAAATTTTTTTCAGGTTATATATATTTTCAGGAAAACTTTTGAAACTTAATATGAATTAGTCCATTGCTCTCTCAGGGATTAAGGAAAGTACTTAACACTTAGATGTGTGTCAAGTTGTTATAATACCGGATATGTAACTTGGGTAACTGAGTGGTATTTTCTGAAAATCAGGTCAAAAGAGCCTTGAGACTCTTGGGTTTCAGTGATTAACAATAAATTTAAAAGTTCTATACAATATGAGTGCTTAGCTATGTATGAGATACATTTCTAATCCTCAAACTTTAAAATGTTTTAAATCTTTTGTTTTTCAGAAACGGCACAAGACATCCAAAAGGTAAGTACTATTACATTCCTTATTTTGAAATGTTTACTTTAGGCAGCCTTTATACCTGCCTATCTTTTCCTTAAAAATCTAACCTCCAGTTTATCTTCCAAGTGTAAACAATTACTTTACATGTTGAAGTAGATTTAAGTTAAGACTCTTCCTTATCAACCCTCCCCCCACCTCCCCACCCCCAGTTTCATCTCTCAGAACCAAGGCAATGATTTCTTCATCTTTCTGCCCCACCTCTCTGCTCAGAAGCTGTAAAGATACCTTAGGATGTAACACCAGCAGAGGCTGTGGTCCACGCCACGTTGCCCTGTGCCTGTGTGTATGTAAGACCAAGGTTCTTGCATCCCGACTATTTGCTCCTTTTTCAAAGCATCAGCCTTCAATCACAAAGATCCCCTTCTAAGAATGCAGTCCTACTGCTGGTATGAACAGCGTGATCATATGTGGTATAACAAAACTTCACTATATCAAGTTTTGATTTTTCTTCCTCTAATGAAAGGTTAGGAGAAGGGGAAATAAAAGTGATATGTTTTATTGGAAGATGTATATTCACATTTATTACCTATGAACAATAAATATTGTATCCTGACCAGAGTGAACCATGTCCAAAATGCCTACTGATAGATTGGCTTAACTAACAATTCTTAGAAAACCGATCTTGGCTTCTTGCTTTGTGTTCTGTGATGATATGACTCTGAAAATCTCCCCCATGACTCCACTTGCCCCTCTCCTTGGCACAGGGCCAGAGTGACCATGTTAATAAATGATGGATCTTTCAGTTAAGATGTCTAAACATCTAAAATCAATAGTCTTAATCTTTAAATAATTTCCTTAAAATTGGAGCAGATGGATTTTTTTCAGGTAGTGCCTATTTCTGTTTGGAAACTTTTGAAAATTTACTAACAATGAATTGATTCACTGTCCTGAAATATGACATAAGAGATTTTGATTTTTTTAAATGTACTTTGTTTTCATAAGCAAACACCAGAAGGTGGCTTTGCAAGGCAGCCAAACTATGATCACAGAGCAAGCCTGGCTTAGTACCAGGTGGGGGAATCGCTCTATTAGTCCTAGAGATACAATCTCAGGAGCTTCTTGGAAACTTTTCATGATAATGATCAAACCAAGTCTCCATGTGGGGACTCACTAAACCTTATGAAGTCTGAAGATAAGAAAAATAAAGCACCAATGTGCTTTTTTCTTAGTGGTAAAATTCCATCTCCTAACAAAAATGAATGCATACTAAATGCAGAAAGAGACTCAAGAGATAAAGAGATTAACATTTCTCCCAGAATATATACAGAATATGCATTCCAAAGCTCTGTGTGTGTGTGTAGAGAAGGAGAGAGATTTAGCTCACATGTAAACTGAGGATTAAAATATGGATACAGATCCATTTCTGCCATTTGAAAGCTGTGTGACTATAGGCAAGTGGTTAAACCTTACCAAGACTTCGTTTCCTAACTTACAGAATTGTTATAAAGATTAAATGTCATATGTTTTTTAAATGTGCTTGGTACAGTACTTGGCCCAAATCAAGTGCCCCCAAAATTATGGCTGTTATCTTATTGCTAAATAGCTATAATGCCAAGAATGTAGAAAAATGGGGAGAGGGATGTTCCTCATGCAGGATCTACACTACATGTTATGTCAACTCCATATACTGATTTCTTTCTTTTTTTGTGTGCTTTATTAATGAGTTGTTTATTTTTTTAATTTGATGCTTATAGGTGTTTTTCTCATTCTCTATCTTTTTAATTTTTATTGAAATACAGTTGACTTACAAAGTTTAGTTTCCAATGTAGAACAATGTGATTCAGTTATGTGTATATATGTATATATACATACTCTCCTTTTAATTTTTATTTTATATTGGAGAATAGTATATTAACAATGTTGTGTTAGTTTCAGGTATACAACAAAGTGATTCAGTTATATATTTACATGTATCTATTCTTTTTCATATATATTCTTTTTATACTATCTTCCATTACAAGTTATAATAAGATATAATATATTATATATATTATATATATATTATATATATTATATATATATATTATATTATATATATTATATTATATAATATATATATATTATATATATTATATATTATACTGAATTAAGATATTCAGTATAGTTCCCTGTGCAATACAGTAGATCCTTGATGGTTATCTATTTTCTATATGACAGTCTGTATATTTTAATCCCAAACTACTAGTTTATCCCTCCCCCTCTTCCTTTTTGGTAACCATAAGCTTGTTTTCTACGTTCGTGAGTCTATTTCAGTTTTGTAAATAAGTTCTTTAGTATCATTTTTTTAAGATTCCATTTGTAAGTAATATCATACGATACTTGCCTTTCTCTGATTATTTCTTAATCTAAAAGCTTCTTCCAGTCTCCTGATAATGTATTTGAAGTAAAATTTCACATTCCAACGTATTCCTTACTTCACTTCAAGTGTAGTTACCTTGAAAATATACTTTGATATTAACCACTCAGGTTTCCTAATTTTCTAAAATGTCTGGAAATTTTTGTGGAATGAAAGATTTTAAGAAGGTATTACTTCTGACTGTTCACAAAATTGTTTTGTTACAATTCCACAACATTTTGTCATGATTCAACTAGCTAATACTAACTTTTTTTTAATAAAATATAGTTACTGGGTGCCTATATTATACCAGTGCAGTCTGAGTAAAAGGAGGAGAGAGAGAGATTAAAAGGCAAAGAAAAAAAAGAAAAGAAAAGCCATATATATAACATGATTTATGTATTTATATATATATACATATCCATATGTGTGTGTGTATTTGTTTATTCCTAGTCCTCAAGTGGCCAGTTTTACTGTTTGGAAAAAAGTGAACAAAGGATTAAATGACTAATAAGACTTTTTATTGTTGAATCTTTAATAGAAAAATAACAGGATAAAATTTTATTCTTGCCCTCCCTAATAGACAGACAGGCAGGTCGGTAGGCAGATAGACATATTAGTAGGTGGATATTCCAAGCTTCCATAGGCAGACAGACATCTTAGTATGTGGATATTCCAAGCTTCCATAAGCCTCTTATCCTTATCCATCAGAAGGCAGGCAGAATGAAAACCACAATCACAGAAAATTAACGAAACTGATCACATGGACCACAGCCTTGTCTAACCCAATGAAACTATGAGCCGTGCCATGTAGGGCCACCCAAGATGGACGGGTCATGGTGGAAAGTTCTGATAAAACGTGGTCCACTGGAGAAGGGAATGGAAAACCACATTAGTATTCTTGACTTGAGAACCCCATGAACAGTATGAAAAGGCAAAAAAATGGGACACTGAAAGATAAACTCCCCAGGTCTGTAGGTGCCCAATATGCTACTGGAGATCAGTGGAGAAATAACTCCAGAAAGAATGAAGAGATGGAGCCAAAGCAAAAACAACACCCAGATTTGGCTCTTGCAGCCAAAGATGGAGAAGCTCATACAGTCACCAAAAACAAGACTGGGAGCTGATGGTGGCTCAGATCATGAACTCCTTATTGCCAAATTCAGACTTAAATTGAAGAAAGTAGGGAAAACCACTAGACCATTCAGGTATGACCTAAATCAAATCCATTATGATTATATACAGTGGAAGTGACAAATAGATTCAAGGGATTAGATCTGATAGACATGAGTACCTGAAGAACTACGGATAGAGGTTTGTAACATTGTACGGGAGGCAGGGATCAAGACCATCTCAAGGAAAAGAAATGCAGAAAGACAAAGTGGTTGTCTGAGGAGGCCTTACAAATAGCTGAGAAAAGAAGAGAAGCAAAAGGCAAAGGAGAAAAGGAAAGACATACCCATTTGAATGCAGAGTTCCAGAGAATAGCAAGGAGAGATAAGAAAGCCTTCCTCAGTGATCAATGCAAAGAAATAGAGAAAAACAGTAAAATGGGAAAGACCAGATATCTCTTCAAGAAAATTAGAGATACCGAGGGAACATTTCATGCAAAGATGGGCACAATAAAGGACAGAAATGGTATGGACCTAACAGAAGCCGAAGATATTAAGAAGAGGTGGCAAGAACACACAGAAGAACTATACAAAAAAGATCTTCATGACCCAGATAACCACGATGGTGTGATCACTCACCTAGAACCAGACTTCCTGGAGTGCCAAGTCAAGTGGACCTTAGGAAACATCACTACAAACAAAGCTAGTGGAGGTGATGGAATTCCAGTTGAGCTATTTCAAATCCTAAAGGATGATGCTGTGAAAGTGCTGCACTCAATATCCCAGCAAATTTGGAAAACTCAGCAGTAGCCACAGGACTAGAAAAGGTCAGTTTTCATTCCAATGCCAAAGAATTTTCAAACTACCGCACAATTACATTCATCTCACATGCTAGCAAAGTAATGCTCAAAATTCTCTAAGCCAGGCTTCAACAGTACGTGAACCATGAGCTTCTAGGTGTTCAAGCTGGATTTTATCCCATCAGAGGAACCAGAGATCAAATTGCCAACATCCGCTGGATCACTGAAAAAGCAAGAGAGTTCCAAAAAGATACCTACTTCTGCTTTATTGACTATGCCAAAGCCTTTGACTGTGTGGATCACAACAAACTGTGGAAAATTCTTCAAGAGATGGGAATACCAGACCACTTGACCTGCCTCCTAAGAAATCTGTATGCAGGTCAAGAAGCAACAGTTAGAACTGGACATGGAACAACAGACTGGTTCCAAATCAGGAAAGGAGAACATCTAGGCTATATACTGTCACCCTGTTTATTTAACTTACATGCAGTGTATATCATGAGAAATACCAGGCTGGATGAAGCACAAGCTGGAATCAAGATTGCTGGGAGAAGTATCAATAACCTCAAATATGCAGATGACACCACCCTTATGGCAGAAAGTGAAGAACTAAAGAGTCTCTTGATGAAAGTGAAAGAGGAGAGTGAAAAAGTTGGCTTAAAACTCAACATTCAGAAAACTAAGATCATGGCATCCAGTCCCATCACTTCATGGCAAATAGATGGGGAAACAATGGAAACACTGAGAGACTTCATTTTGGGGGGCTCCAAAATCACTGCAGATGGTGACTGCAGCCATGAAATTAAAAGGCACTTGGTCCTTGAAAGAAAAGCTATGACCAACCTGGACAACATATTAAAAACAGAGGCATGACTTTGACAACAAAGGTCCATCTAGTCAAAAATATGATTTTTCCTATAGTCATGTATGGATGTGAGAGTTGGACTGTAAAGAAAGCTGAGAATTGCAGAATTGATGCTTTTGAACTGTGGTGTTGGAGAAGACTCTTGAGAGTCCCTTGGACTGCAAGGAGATCCAACCAGTCCATCCTAAAGGAGATCAGTCCTGGATGTTCATTGGAAGGACTGATGCTGAAGGTGAAACTCCCATACTTTGGCCACCTCATTTGAAGAACTGACTCATTGGAAAAGACCCTGATGCTGGGAAAGATTGAGGGCAGGAGAAGGGGATGGCAGAGGATGAGATGGTTGGATGGCATCACCGACTCAGTGGACATGAGTTGAGTAAGCTCCGGGAGTTGGTGATGGATAGGGAGGTCTGGCGTGCTGCAGTCCATGGAGACGCAAAGAGTCAGACACCACTAAGTGGCTGAACTGAACTGAACTGAATTCCAAGATAATAGGTATCGCAGTTTCATTGAGCAGTAATGAAAAGTTCTTGTTAATTTGACATTTCCAATAGGTTACACTAGTGTTTTGACCAGAAAATATGTCCCTGATACTAATTAGGTTGAACCTGTCTTAACCCTTTCAACTCTTTGAAGCTAATCCCAATACCCACAGAGGATATCAAAGGGCAGTCCACTCCCTGCCAGCACAGTTGAGCTCCATCAGGAAAGGTTCAAAGTTATAAGAGACCCATCGTTCTCTCTGATTAAAAGTCATTAGTGTCACTCATACTTACTTCCTAACAGATATCTAAATATTAATTAAATGTATTCTGAAAGAAAGTAAAAATTTCATTAGCTCAATAGTGGATTAAATTAACTTCCTAAAACAAAGGCTCTTTTGCCTAGACTCTATAAACCAAGGCAGTGCAAGTCAGGGTCATGCAGGTTCGGAGATTTAAAAAAAACTCTCAGAGGGTATAGTGAGATCACTGACAGGGGTGTTTCTGGTACACCAATAACCAAGATGAGACAGCTAAGAATCAAGCCCCAAAAAGAAACCGATACCATGGCCCTTGACACCTATATATGTTCATTTGTATAATGTTATTTTCCAAGAACATATCAAAATGATTTGAAGTATCTAACAGTTTTCTTCATTTAGCTGATTCCCTGCAGTGGGGTAAGGTGACCTGGGTTTGCATCCTAGCCTTTCCACTGACGAGGGAGAGTTAAGTTACTGAACCCTAAGAGCCTAAATGTGCTTACTGTGAAAATGGTACATGCGTGCCTGTGTGCTACCTTGCTTCAGTTGTGTCCACTCTTTGCGACCCTATAGACTGTGACCCACCAGGCTCCTCTGTCCATGGAATTCTCCAGGCAAAAATACTGGAGTGGGTTGCCATGCCCTCCTCTAGAGAATCTTCCCAACCCAGGGATCGAACCTGCATCTCCTGCAACTCCTGCATTGCAGGCAGATTCTTTACCACTGAAACTGGTACAATCATATCCACTTCAAAGAGTGATCGTGAACATGCAGTTTGGAGAACGTCTTCAAAGAGCCAAGCCTATTTCTCAGTAAACATCAGTTCCTGTTCTTTCTGCCCCTACTGCAAAATATCCAATGTGTTTTCAATGCAGTTAAAAATCAACCATGTGTCCTGGTGATTTTCTTTAAGAATATCACCTGTAGGGGGGAAAGACAATGTGTAAATACAGGAGAATATTCTATATTACGTGACCTGTGGTGTGTGATTCAATCGGTATGTTTCTCTCCTCCTCAGGTTTCCAGAGAGGAAGGGTCTCCCCAGCTGACTTCAGCAGGGCCCTCTCCTGCCCAGCGGAGCAGTCAGCCAAGCAGTTCTGCCATCCTGAACGTGCTGCGTGGGGGCGGGGCCGTCAGAAACATCTGGACCGACCACCAGATCCGCCAAGCCCTGTTTCCCAGTCGAAGGTCGCAGGAGAACGAGGAGGATGAAGACGACTATCAGATGTTCCTGCCATCCTTCTCCTCCTCGGACCTGAACTCGGCCCAGCTGTGTGAAGATAGCACTTCCAGTCGACCTTGCAGCTGGCACATGGGACAGATGGAGTCCGCGGAGACCCCCGGCTCAGGCCACAGGGTGGTGCGGCGGGCCAGCAGTGCTGGCGAGAGCAACACGTGTCCCCCTGACATAAGAACTAGGGACAGTGGTGGCTCTCAGTACAGCTCCCGGAGGGAACTTCAGGGTGACCCTAAAACAGAGGGGCAGGACGGGACAACTCCCTACGGGTCCTCCATAGAGCTGACTATAGATGACATAGACCATGTCTATGACAACATAAGCTACGAGGACTTGAAACTGATGGTTGCTAAACGTGAGGATGCTGAAGTCACTCCCCACAAACCAGTCAGGGACTCTGTTCGCCCCAAGAGCACCCCCGAGCTGGCCTTCTCCAAGAGGCCAGCGGGAACCGAGGAGGAGAGTGCATTGCACCCCAGGAGAGATGGAGCCCCCCCGGCTGGGGAGGCCTGGAACCAAAGCGTGCAGGACCAGGTGATGGAGGAGAACGTCTATGACACCATTGCGCTCCCAGAGGCGCCCTCCCGGGACTTCAAGTGCAGCAGCCCGAAGCGTCCTGCCAGGAGCACCTTCCTGGGCTTGGAGGCCGACTTGGGGTGCTGTGATAGCCTGCGGGCCTCTGCTTCCCAGGACAGCCTCCAGTTCAGCGAGGACGAGGCGCCCTACCCCCCAGGCCCCTCCGATAACGATTATCTGAGTTTGCTCTATAACTCCTTCGGCTGCAACTTGGCCCTAGCGGATCGGTCCATCTCTGATAAACTGTCTGAAGAAGTAGATGAAATCTGGAATGACTTGGAAAATTACATCAAGAAAAATGAAGTCAAAGCCAGAGACCGGCTCCTGGCCGCATTTCCCGTTAGCAAAGATGACGTGCAGGACCGGCCGCTGGCAGGCAGCGCCCCGGAGCTGAGTGCGCGCTCCCCACTCTCGCTGCCCGCGGGCCGGGCTCTCCTCGCACCGCCCGGAGACAGGCCCGGGCCGGCCCCCTGCACCCTGGACCGCGCCCTGGACCGCGCCCCGGCCCCTAGAGACAGCTCCTGCCTGAGTCTCCACCGGCTGTCGCTGGCCAGTGACCTACCACCCGCGGAGAGTCCTTATGATGTGGCCGGCGGCAGCCTGTCCCCAGTAGACCTAGAGAACCCTGAGCCCGGGATGGACAATGTAGACAAGACCAGGAGCAGGGTTTTCCTGATGGCCAGGCAGTACAGTCAGAAGATCAAGAAGGCAAATCAGCTGCTAAAGGTGAAAAGCCCGGAGCTGGAACACACGCCCGGTAGCCAGCCGCAGAAGCCCGCACCGAAGGACCTGGCGGCCATCCTAGAAGAGAAGAGGCAGGGCGGGCCCGCCATCGGTAGGTCCCAAGCAGCCTTTCTCCTTCCGAGGACCGGCAGAGAGCCACGCTCAGGTTCTAAATGCCCCTAGCGCTGTAAGGATGCTGCCACCAGGATGTTCAATCTCACAGTGAGACCACTGGCTCACTGACACGCAGGCAAAGCACCCACCGCATCACACCAGTGGGTCTGGAGGGTTTCCTGGTGTCTGTGACGACATCATTCCAGACATACTGTTTGAAGCGGCTTTCTCTAATTTAATCTAAGGTTGAAAAATAGCCTTCGGTTTCACTGGTGGCATCTAGAGCTTTTCTCCTGTGCATCAGTGTGTTAGAAGGAGTAGCTGGGTAGCAGAGTGAAGAGTTTAAGGTTTGGACACACATGGAATTAGGATTGCTCTTTGCTCCAGAATCCCAACAATAATGCCTACTCATCCTGACAAAAACAAAAAGGAGTCCTTTCTGCAGTTTTTTAAAACTGTTCATAATAATCCCGCTGTTTTCCATGTGTTGCTTTTTTCTTTTTTTAATAGCTTCTATAATCCATTTGATACAATGTCATTTGGTATTCTCAGGTATGCTTCCAAGGAATTTAATTCTTTTAGTCAAGCCTCCTTTTGGCACAGAACTAAACCAGGATCACGGGTGTGATATTGGTACCATTAGGGTTAAAAGAATGAGATAATCATGTTTGACTTCTTCTCGATTATAAAGAAGTACAGGAATTTCCCTGGTGGTCCTGTGGTTAGGACTTAACACTTTTACCGCAGGGTCCCAAGTTCAATCCCTGGTCAGGGAACTAAAATCCTGCATGCCTCAGGACATGGGGAAAAAAATATACATATCCCCTGGCTAAATTACACAGGGTTCTCAGTGGAACCTGGGCATCTATATGAATAAAGCACAGGATTGTCATGGAAAGAAAAAAACCTGAGGGTGCTGTGACCTGAGGAGTTTTTCACCTCCAGATTCAGAGAGATTTCTGTGATTAGGCTCAGGAATCTGAGTTTTGTAAACTATAGACTTTCCATCCTATCCTGTTTTAGGAATCCCTGCCCTAGATCTTCTGACTAAGAACTGCCTCTGTATCAAATGAGAGGAGACAATTCTCCAATTAGAAGTAAAAACCAGATGGCTCACTATCTGGGCATGTCTTGTTAATTAGCTTGATGGCAACATGGCTCATCTGGCCAGCTTGATGCCGCTGACTTCCTGTCTTTGGGACTACTTTCTTAGGTGGGAATCAGAGAATAAGAAGCAGGTATCCGAGTCCTAAGTGCACTCAGCAAGCTGCATGACCAGAATCTGTAAGAAGAAAAAAAAAAATTTAAGTTTGGGAATGTTTAAGAGTTATCATACAGTAAGATTTCTTAACATTTAGGGATGTTAAGCCCTGGACATGTTACCTGGAGGATTTTACAGACTCTTTGACTTGTTCTTCTTTTTAAGTAAAATAAAGGTTATAAGTGATCTTTATACAAATATGATAAAGGCTGGATCGCATATATCTTTCTCTTTGCAGTAACATGCTTGAATTAATTCGCGTCCCTTTTCCAACGCTAGTGTTGCTAAACTGATTTGTTGTTACACATAGAACAAGTGACTGAATTTCAGCTGCAAGAGGACTGTTTTTTTAGAGCGTAAGTGGCGTTTGGCAACGCAACCACTGACTGTGTGGTTGCCCAGGCTAGGGCACTTCAGAATGAGAGCAGATACAATAGTGAGGTTTCCCTTGGATTGATTAGGCCAGCACATTGTCGTTTAAAAAGAGGTAATTGCCTGAGGCACGTTGTTTGGAGTATGGACCGTCCATTCACATACAAAGTTCTAACCCTGCGAGAAGCAAGGTCTTCAATACTGAATCTTGAGGGTTCAATGACAACTTTGAATAGTCCTTTTTACCCAGCTTTTAAATATTAAGTAGATTTCTCTTTGGGGTTTTCTTTTGCTTTTCCCCCCACTTTTGGTTTGTTCTTGTTTTGCCTACTGGTGTCTTCCTGGGCTCCTGTAGGATCTTTTTGTTTTTCAGCTCTGTGTCTGGGCCCTTGCTCCACACGGTGGGCTGCCGTGAACGTTCTGACAAAGAGATCTCTCCAGAGTCACCTTCTGAGAGTGGTGTCTCCCCCTGCTGGCTGGCGGGAGTATGTTCTTAGGGCCCGCCTCCTCTCGCACCTGACGACTCTTCCATCTGGGTGGATGGAGACCACTGCCTGTGCCCACCAGGCTTTCAATCAGTTGACTTGATGACTGCTTTTCTCTCTCTTGTTTATCTGGGCACAGGACATCGTAATCGAATGGACCGATTCTCCAGACTTCTCCGTGTGGGCCTTGCCACTTTGCCAGGAGCTTGCTCTCGGTGTTGTGCGGAAGGAAGAACGCCCTATTCACCTGCTGAAACTCTCCAGCACCTTTATTGAACTCTCTAGCCGGGGTCTACAGGCCCCGGGCCGGGCCACACTTCCGCCTATAAGTCACCCAACCAGGTCTAGTCCCTCCCACCTTTTGGAGCATGTTGTAGCATGCTGGCCATCTTGTCCCATCAGGCCTTCCTCCTGACAGTCTAAGAGACCAAAGAAGCTTTGGGTTCCCTCCCCACGCCCCACCCCCCACACACACCTTTTTTTTTTTGGTGATATTTTACGTGGGAGAAGACTCCATACAGATTTGAGGAATGTTCCTCCTTGTTTAAAGTAAGAAAGGCAAAATAACATTTTGTTCTCTACACTCAAGCAACATTAGAAGCATCAATTTTAATCCTGTCTTGAAAATAATCTGTTTCATACTTCTGTCAATAAGAATCACTTCAAATTTTTGTCTGGAATGACAAGAATTTTCCTTTCTAAACTTACAAAAGAGAAATAAACTACAGTTAGCCCCTGGGGTTGTAGAATAATAATAATAATGTACTTGGTCTATAAGGACTGGTAATGCCAGAACTAAGAATGAGCGAGAATTTTGATCCTGCTGACTTCTACTAAGTTTTCTAGGCTAGAGGTGTCATCTTGAGCTGGCTATTTCTTATATGTCTGACTAAGGGAATCTATTTCATGACAGCCTATTGCTCTGAAAGCTTGTCTCATGTTTTTGTTAGCATCAGGCAAGTTATAGACTCTCTTAGAATGTCAAGCTGAGACCAAAAAGACACACAGATAGGCACAGAATATTGTCTACTTGTGAGATACTTTTTGTTTCAAATTTATAAATGGTCAGCTTTCTATTATCTGAAGATAAACTCTGCCCATTATGAATTGTATAAAATATATATGTTTACATAGCGTTTTACTATGTTTCTGTCTTTCTGCTTCTCCTTTTCCTGCTATGCCCAAATTCTTGGCTGCCTTTCCAGTCTTACTGGTATAGTCTTAAGGAAGGCACCTTTATTTTTAACATATTTAGAATGAACGGAGGCTGTCCAAAAATTATCTGAGTAATTAAGTTGTTCTTGAGACCAATTTCTATCCAGAACTGTGCTTGGATTTCTGTGGGGATTGTTTTGTGGGGGAGTAGATGGAATAATAAACCAGATTAGATAAAACAACTAGCAACACAAGATTGTGTGCATGAATGCATATATACATATATAAGCAACAGCTAAATATTACGTTGCATACTAGTATATAAGACTTCAGAGAAATCAGTTAGAAAGGGATTTATAGAAGTGATAAGGCTTATAGAGGGTCTTGGGAGGTAAATAGGGCTTGATTAAGCAAAAGAAGAAGAAGAAAGTGTGATAAAGAAGAAAAAAGCATGAGAAATACTGTGACTATTTTGAATAATACATAGTTTGAGATTTATCTGGGCCACCATGTTCTAAAAATCAAGAGCTAACTGTTCTTATAAGACTTTAGAGTTAAATTTTGGTGCTGCAGTAGTTTAACTGAATTTTTAAAATTAGCCCTCACTGCTCTTTCCCAAATTGTCATTTTCTTGGAAGCTTGTGAAAGTACAGAGCCTTCCTGATTCAGCAGTAGGATCAGGCTCAGAGCCATGGTATAGGTGAGAAAGGCTTGGAAAGAACTGTCTTGACTTTCAGATGGGACTGCTGAGCAAAGCCAGGCCTAAAGCTCCAGCTGACATTGGTTGGGTTTCATAGTTGACTAAACGTTGTATATTTCAGGATGGCTAAGTCCATGTAGGTTTTCAGTCTCTTAGGGGGTTACCAGATTTTAATTGGTATCAAGAGTCTTTACTATGCTCTTTAAGGAGTAATAGTTCAAGTTTTTGTTACTAGTTTAAGCTAATAATCTCTGTCCTTCAAAGGGATTTGGACTCAAAAGCCTAAAGGATCTGAATGAATGTAGGGTCTAAAATGAGAAGATGAACACTGTTTATCCTGATTCCGGGGACTAAGGGGCAAGTAGTTTTGAGGAAGTCGCAGTTAAAGGGCACACAGAATATCAGCACCTTGTTTTCTGTCCTCACAGAAGACAAATTTGAAAGAAATGGCAGGAACTCAACTAAATATTTAGTTTAACTTCAAGGAATGATTTACTAGAAATAGCTTAAGTAGGAAATATGATGTCACTTGCTGGTCATTATATACAGGATAGACAGCTTCCTTTCATAGAGACTTTCTAGATGTGGTCTGAGCGATTTATAGGATTCTTGGAATTATTTGATTCTGCAGTGGTCATATGGGTACCTGGACGGGGGAAGACAACTTTTGAAATTGACATCTCTGGGCTCTCTCTTCTAAATCATTCCTGGCCCAGGAGAATTCTCTATCTTGGTTTTGTTAATGTCTTTAGAAATGTCTGTACTCTGGGACTTCCCTGGTGGCCCAGTGGTTAAGACTCTGTGCTTCTACTTCAGGGAACAGGGGTTCGGTCCCCAGGCTAGGGAACTAAGATCCCATGTGCCACCTGGCAGAGCCAAAAAGCAAAAATTAATAAAATGGAAACGTCTGCACTCAGAAGTGGAGCAGAGAGGATAGTGGCCTCACAGCTTAATCTGAAATGGCAATAGCTTTCATGGAAATAGTGGTAAAATCCTGTCCTGTAACCAGTACTAGAGAGCATTAGATTATCGATTATATGCACAGGATGATTCATTCTTAATGTCTTGAAAGCCAAGACATTAAGACTTGGAAGACTTGTCTTGGAACACTTCAGTGGCTTCCTTCTCGGTGATAGGAAAAGAGACGTGGGCCAGCCAGTATGTGTGGTCTTGAAGTCCTGGAAGTGAGGACCTCCTGTCAACATCCCCAGACAGTGGCAGTGGGGGGCTGCCTGGAACAGAAAGTGTAAGAACAGCTGCTAGGAGCAGACTTTTCTGGGAGTAGTTGTCTGAGAGCAGCCAAGCCTGGTGAGGCAGGGTTAGTAGCCATTGCACGGTGGATGTGCTTCTTTTAATGACTACTTGAGTTATTTTTTGTTGACCAGGGTTTAAGTGCTGACTTTCTTATTTTTATGATGCCTGTTTTTAGCATTGACACTATTCCATGCTTGTAAAGAACACTAGAAATTAAAAAAAAAAAAAAAAAACACTAGAAATTTTCATTACAAACAGGGAACCCTTGTAGACCTGCTGTTGAAATAAAAGAATCCAGAATTAGGTCAAATTAAATGAAGTTTTAGGTGGCTTTTTTTTTTTTATTAAACTGTGTTAGTTTAACTAATTGATTTAACTTAATTAGTGTTGCTTAGCATTTGATGATTTCTGTCCTCAAACTTTAAAGTCCTGTCTACTGTTTAAATATTTTAAACATGTTATTAGAACGTTCTTAGTTTTTAAATCTTCACATGCAGAAATGATTCTGTGTATATTTATTGTTTTAATACTTGCCTTCCAGGTGCCAGGATTGCTGAGTATTCCCAACTGTATGACCAGATTGTATTCAGAGAGACACCCTTTAAGACTCAGAAGGATGGCTGGGCCAGCCCTCAAGATCCCTCCAACCTCAGTTCTGCATCACCTTCCCACGCCCAGCAGGGTAGCGAGGACTGGCTTTTGCATTCAACCTATAGTAACGGAGAGTTAGCTGACTTCTGTCCCTGGCCAGAGCAGGACTTAAAGTCAAAATATCCCACATTAGAGATCAAAACACGAAGTACCCCAAGACAACTGTCTGCAGCTTGCTCCGTGCCTTCTCTTCAAACCTCCGACCCTCTGCTGGGCTCCGTGCAGAGACACAGCGTGGTGGTCAGCCAGCCAAACAAAGAGAACTCCTGCCAGGCCCATCTTTACAACTCTCTGGGTCGGAAAGGAATCAGTGCTAAATCTCAGCCTTATAACAGGTCCCAGTCATCTTCCTCCATCCTGATAAACAAGTCTGCGGACTCCATCAACTACCCTAGTGAAGTGGCAAAGAAGCAGCCTCTGTCTTTACACAGAACTTCAAGGTGGGAGAGTCACCAGGATTTGCTGCCAAGTATTGCTGACTCAGGTCAACAGGGCCTTGAAAAACGCTCAGATCTCACACTCCAGGACTCGCAGAAAGTTTTGGTAGTGAATAGAAATTTACCTTTAAGTGCTCAAATAGCTACCCAGAACTATTTTTCCAATTTCAAAGAGACCGAAGGAGACGAAGATGACTATGTGGAGATCAAGTCAGAAGAAGATGAGTCAGAGTTAGAACTGTCTCACAGTCGGAGGAGGAAATCTGACCCAAAGATTACAAACGCTGACTTTGCTGATAATGTCTGCAGCCACACAACTTCTTACTCTTTGAATAGTCCATGCACTCCAAAAAAGCCAGTAAGTGGCAAACTTGGGATTTCGCCGTATCTGACACCATACAATGATCCCGACAAACTAAATGACTATCTCTGGAAAGGGCCATCTCCCAATCAGCAAAATATTGTCCAGTCTCTAAGGGAAAAATTCCAGTGTCTTAGTTCAAGCAGCTTTGCCTAAAGGTTCTTAAGAGTAGCTGTCTCAATTAACTTCTTACTGTGCTCATGAATTACAGATTCTGAGAGGTGTTTTGTATACACCAGATTAAAACAACTTTGTAATAAAACAGAGATGTAAAATATACTTTCTTTAATAGCACAATTTTTTGAAACGGCTGGCAATCAGCCAGGATTGTACTGTAGCAAATGTCAGCATGTAACACTGTTTACTAATGCTGATGGTCTTCATGTTTAATGTAAGTCAATCTTCCTTGAAAATTTTTAGACTTTTTTTTTTTTAACATGATGGCCATGGTATTTTTTTTCCCTCTCCTGACAATTAGTACTCAGACTTTAAGAAATGCAATAATCCTCTCCTATTATCTGGAAGCCACTAGTTAGTTTTATCCTAGGACTCAGAGGCGACACGGAAGAAGAAAGAAAGGAAACTAAAGCTGTTTAAAGGATTATGCTTACCTGTGACATTTCTGTTAAATTCATGACAAGACCCTAGAAAACCTCAACTGAGGGATCTCTAATCAGAATATTGTGTAGATACCCATTTTAGGGTTTCTATACTGACTTCCTTACATCAGTTCATTATATCGCAGAAAGTGTGTAATTATTGGAAATTAGAATGTAATATGACCAAACTTCTATAAGCAAAAAATCTGTATTCCTGAACAAAACCTGAAGAATGTGATGCTCATCATGTATTTTATGTTCCATGGGGTTAAATGAATGATTCCCTTAATGGTTTAAAACCAAGTGCAAGAAAATGCAAATCGACTTATTAGAAAAGATGGGTTGACATCTGGGTACAACTTGACTATCTCATCATGTGACATTTGGGGGTAGGGAGCAGATAGAAACCTCCACTACTTTTTATGCCTGTTTTTAGTCAACACGAAGTAAACCATAAGCTAAAACAATGTTCTTTAAACCTAGTCTTCCCAGAGCAGTTGTGCAGATGTCCTTTCCTGAGTTTTGTGCTCATCCTGATGACCTGAACCCAGCCTTGAGGATTTTATCGATGGCAATGGCATTTATTTTCTAATCCAAACATAATATGGCAGTCTTTTTTTCATTGTTTGGGGGCATACAGAAGAGCAAAATCTTTGGTCACTAAGTTCTGACTAGTTATATCTTACTTTCATGTTGTAATTGTGGCCTTTAAATAGCAGTTCATTGTGATATTATGTACTGATACAATTCTTTATGGAAGGGAACAGAAAAACAAAAGCAAGACCTTGTGAGTGAAACACAAAATTAAAGAAGCTGAAGAAAAAAATGATAGCGGATTTATTACTGCTTTCTAAAAATATTTTATTGAAGACTCCAATCAATGAAAAAAGAATCTTTTCTCAAACAGTGGCCTTTGCATTCTCATTTTAGCTACATTCTGTGGTCCCTTCCCCACCTTCTCAGTTTTCATCTTAAAAGATATAATAATCTGTATAGGGAAATGGGATCTGGGCTTTTCATTTAAAGATAAGTAATGATGTTGATTTGAATCAGTAATTTGAGTCATCTTAGCATAATTCTTTTTTTCTGTTTAAGTGCTATGCCTCTTGTACTTAAGAACATAAAATGTGACCATCCTTATCTTATACACAGGTACCTAATGCATTCCTTTTCTAACTAACAAAAAATAACCCATTTCTTCTTTTTCTATACTGTACTTTCTTCTCGTAGCTTATAAAACAAAGTCCATATTGACGAACAGTTTTCTGGAAACATTCCTTCTTTCATTGCCTTTCTTTAAACATAACATGAGTTTTTAAGATGAAGCAGTATAGAAAAGAAAAGCATAGTAACAGAGTGTGGATTCTCAGACTTGCTAGAGTTATTTGTAAGTGTGTTTACAAAACAAAGTTACCTGACTTTCTCGTCCCAGGAACACGATTTCCCAGTTCTGCTTTTTAGTTTGTAAGACCCAAATTCTGTATTATCCATATCTGGTGTCTTACTCTCAGAAATTATTAATTCTCCACACCAGTCCTGTTGCACAACTTTGATATTACTTATAGGAATACACCCTGCTTCACGAAGGCTGCTGTCTTACTGTATAAAATGTCTGTATGGTTGTCTTTAGGTTCTGGGACAAATCTGTAGTTCTGAACACCCCTTCTGTCAGCCAGGATGCAGATTTTGAGATCTGTGTGTACACATATCATCAGGTTCATATTTTCCCTCAAAGTTATCCATTGAGTGGTCTTGTTTAAAATAGTTTAAACAAAAATAAAATAAATTCAAAAAAATAAAATAGTTTCTTTGGGAGGTGGGGTAGGGATGTATATAATTGCAGGGAAAGAGTTATATGTACTTAAGTGTATGTCAAGTTCTTATTAGGTCTCTGTACTGAAGATTTAATTGTTTTTATAAGTTCACTTTTCACCTACTCTGTTCTTTGTGCAAAAGAAAAAAAGCAAAAACAAAAACCCATGCATCTTGGAAAACAGTTTAAATACTGTATATAAGATAATGAAAGTTAGTAATGCTCATTATTTAATAAAGTTTGTAAAGTACAAAGTAAAATATAGTGTGAATTAGTGTGTTGATTCTGGAAACATCAAGATTTGTCTGACTGATACTACTATACTACTTTGCCTCATCTTAGTCACCGTGTAGAAAATAATTCAGGGTGGAATTCCCTGGTGAATCAGTGGCTAGGATTCCATGCTTCTCCTGCACGTGGGGCACAGATCTGATCCCTGGTCAGAGAAATAAGATCCCACATGCCTCTCAGTGTAGCCAAAAAAGAGAGAGAAAAGAAAAGAAGTGTTATAATGATAGAGCAGCAGCCTGTGACACACCATTTTCTGCATCTCTTGATTACTTTTCAAATATTAAATTTAGCCTGAGATTAGCATACCTTTCTCTGAAATTCCCTTTAGGCTAAGTGCCTTTCCTGATGACTGGCTGTCACGGTGAGAGAAGATCCTAGAACAGCCTAGCAGGCAGTGGTGGGGTTGAAGGCAGGTGAGATAGAGGAGATGGGCCCAGAATGCTGAGATACTTTCGGTGCCAACAGGCAAACTTGCCTACTTTACTCCGGAGATGCAAGCCCACGGGCAAAGCCCACTTTGTGTATCTGTGATAAACAACAAAGCTTGATTTTCCTGACCATGGCTTATTGACAATGCGTCATACAATAGGAAAGGAAGAGAAACAAGCAGTTTCACTTCATTATCTCTAAAACCATGTTTATTCAGCTCAAACGTAAGAGAATAGGGTGGGGAGAACAAGTAAATCATCCGCTCTATGGGGCGAACACAAGCCTTCAGGCATCTTACCGTTTGTATGACAAGGTGTGCATATGCGTGTTAAGTCACTGGCAGCTGGGAAGCCCCATGGCAAGGTATGGCTGTCCATATAAGCATCCCAAGACCATGCGGGTAAGCAGATTCCTTCTTGTATGTACTAGTGAAATCAGAGGCTATAAACTGGTGACCTGGAGTCTGAATCTGGTTTTCACAATTTTAAAAAGTTTTAACATAAAAATCCAAATTTTCACCTTCTTTGAAAAAAAAATAATTAGATTTAGTCTCTTTGGCCCTGGATTCTGATGAGGTGACTCTGAGATCTGACGATGGAATTTAAAGGTGAGTATCATCCTAAAAGGTGGGGATGTGATCAGATAAGGCAGCGTGTCCCCAGAGAAAGAGAAACAGGTGTGGCTTTCTTGATATAAGAGAAGCCATTTTTGGCCTAAGCCATTTTGGGATCTAAGCCTGGCCAAAACGCTTGCCCTTGAACAGGTCTCAGTAATTAATGCTCCCCAGGGAACAAAAGTGGGGCTTCCCAGGTGGCACAGTGGTAAAGAATCCGCCCGCCAATGCAGAAGACAGAAAAGACTCTAGTTCAACAACTGGGTTGAAAAGAACCCCTGGAGTAGGAAATGGCAGCCCACTCCAGTATTCTTGCCTGGAGAATCCCATGGACAGAGGAGCCTGGAGGGCCAAAGTCCATGGGTCACAAAGAGTCAGACACGACTGAGCGCACACACGACAACAGGTAAAAAAGTACAGATTGTGATTAGGCAAGAGAAGTAACACTATCAAAGATAGCATGTGAGTTGTGTAAGGACTGCCGGTTCTTTTTCCATGGTAAAGATCAGCCTGAAGCGCTCAACCACCGGAGCAGATCAACCAGAACATAAGGGATGATGATGTTGACCTAGCTTCTTATCTGGTTGTCTTGCCAGTCTTCCCCATTTTCAGACTTGTTCACCTCTATCCTCCTAAGTCTTAGGCAGCATAATATTTCTAAACACAGACAGAATCAAATCTTGCACAAAGGTCCCCAAATCTCTCTGCCTTTGTAGGAGCTGCTCCTTTTGCATGCATGGCCTTCCCACTACCATTCGGGACAGAACCTGCCCAGTCCTCAACATTCAGCTCAAAAATCACTATTAAGAACTGTGGAGGGTCTGGGATTTTACTAACAAGTTAGTTACGCTAATTGCACTAACAAGTTAGCCTGCCTCTGCATCAGAGGTCATGACCACTTTCAGCAGGACAGGCAGCATGAGCTTCTCATTTGCATTGGTTTCCCTTCCTTTTCCAAGCCCACAGAGGCCTGCAGAGAAGCCACACTCTGCCCAGATATGCACAGTGGGGTGGTTTTGTTAGGTAGTTAAGATAGTAACAACAAGGAGGTAACAGAGGCAAAAAAGAAGAGCAAGAGGGGAATAAGCAAGCTAAGCCCCAGCAATCTGGGCACCCTCCTGACAGTAGCAGCGAAGAGGTGATGGTGGCTAAAGACGGGAGGGAAGCAGTCCAGCTAGTCCCCACCCTGGAGACCCGCCCCGTCCTCACCCAGAACAAAGGAAACTGTGATCAGCTGGTGGGCAATTTATCCTGATAAAGAGGGAGCCCAGTAACAGGAGATAATGTCCCTGGGCTGCACATGCTGTGTGTGTGTGTGTGTGTGTGTGTATGTGCACGCTCAGTCATGTCTAACTCTTTGTGACCCCATGGACTGTAGCCTGCCAGGCACCTCTGTCCATGGGATTTTCCA